AATCTTATGAACTTATAAATGCTGATGCAAATAAATGTTAACAAAATAGGTTTGGTAGTTCATTAAAAGATTGATGTGACACATCCAAAGAGAGTTTATTCCCAGAACATAAGGATATTTCAACATTTGGAAATCAGTTCATACATTTCTACTTATTGACAGATTAATGAAGGAAAAAGCCACAATCGTCTCAATAGATTGAAAATTCAACATTCTTTCCTGATTAATAAATTCTTATAGTAAAAGACAAATAGAAATATATATTATCGATGTGATAAAAGGTTGAATCATGTATGACAAAATTTAACTTCTTAATATATAAAGTGCTTTCACAAAGCAACAAGAAAAAGATATACCCAATAGAAAAATAATAGAAGATAAATCACAGAGTAAATCAATTGTCCCCAAAACATTAAAAAAATTCAACCTTATCTCATTTAAAGAAATGTAAGCATAAGCTGCAAAATAAAAATTTTAAGCTATTATATTTGTAACTATTTTAATTCTCAATACTGGAGAATTAAAGAAACAGACTCACTTTTTCATCTAGTTGAAAGATGTATATGTTGATAACATAATTCTGGAAGATAATTTGTCAATATATTAAAAAGCATTGGAAGTGTATATATATGTATCCTTTGATATAGAAATTACATTTCTAGAAGTTATATCTAAAGATATAAAGATAGATATTCACAAAATTTAGCAATATGATTAATAATCAAAATATTATATTTATAATGAAAAATAAAAATTAATGTCCAACAATGGAATAATAGTTAAATATTATAGGTCCATATGATAGAATATTGTTCAACCATCAAAAGTGAGGTTGTATATGAATACTTGTTGATATGGAAGATGTTTATGATATATTCAGTGAAAAATCAAAATGCAAAATAATATAACAGTATAATCTTGTTTTCATTTAAAATAATTGTCTATAGCTAGCTAGCTATCGAGTTATCATTTATCTACCTACTTTGTATCTATCTGAAAAAAGCTGGGACAGTATTTATCATGATGTTAATGTTAGTTACCACTAGTTGGTATTTTTTCATTTTCTCTATTGTACATTGTGTATTATTGGATATTATTGTTTATTTTTTCTTTTCAAAAAATTAACAAGTATTGCTTTTGCAATATAGTAAATGCTATTGTAAGGTAAAAGCATGTATATTTTTTCTCTTTTGTTTAAACTATGACAAAGTTCTAATACTCTTTTTATAAAATGACTCTTACAAATCAATTAGAAAAATGAACAACACAGCAGAAAAATGGGCTCTAGTTGATTCCCAAAATAAAAACCATAAATGACCTAGGAACAAGAAAAATTCAACCTCACTAGTAATTTTAAAAAATAAAATAAAAATGAGGTAATCTTTTTCTATCACCAAATAGACAAGTCTTCTAAAAAATAGAGGATTAATTCTCTGTGACAGCAAATGTTTAGGGCTGTGAGATCACTTGTACAATGCAGATGGGAACAATATTTCTAGAGAATATGATAATACATAACAAAAGTCTCAATGTTGTGCATGCCATTTGGCGCAGACATTCCCTTTCTCAGAATTTCCATAAAGAGATAATTATGGACATGTGCAAATAAGGATGACCATTACAATATTGTTTGTAATAGTGAACATTAGAAAAAAGACTCAAATGTTCAGATATAACTAAATTATGGTATATCCATAAATAAGAATATTATTCAGAAATTAAATTGGACTTTTAGAAAAACAGTTAATGACATGGAACAGTTTATACTATACAGCAAAGTGGAAAGAAGTGTTCTTTTTCTGCTTTATCACAAACCAGGGAATGTGTTTTTTTTCGGTACTACCTACAACTGCCTGATGCTCTTGTCACATCTGATTCTCAGCCACTTAAGATGGCTTGTTGGTGCTTGTTCCAATACTTGGTAACAATGCTCTCTCTCTTGTCTCTCCTTATGAATTTATGCCATGATTTCCCATTGCAAAATGGGAAAGATTTACATTTAACAAAGAAACAGTACTGGTAAGTAACGGGTCTGTGTTTCAGAGAGCACAGAGTATATAATCTTAAATAACTTGAAAATGTACTTAGAACTAATGAAAAAATAAATATGCCATTTCTTTGAACTTTTGATTAAATCAACTATGCCAAAATACACTTTTTTTGTTATTCAAGACTTGGAGAGGAAATTAATAATGTAAGGGGTATAGTGTGTGCTTTGAAACTGCATGTAAATTACAGATCCTCCTCCAAAATCATCAAGATTCAGTAGTTGTTCCCTCTACAATCTTCGGAAGCGCCACAGTATGGTGATGGAGAGCTCAGCCTCTTTTGGTCCTACACTAGGCTGTTGCTCTGTGTGCCTGGGTCAGTTATGCAATCTCTCTTTGCCTGTTTCCTTACCTAAAAATGGGCATAACGATAGTATTGAAATTGCAGGGATAGGATACAATTAAAGATAATATATTTAGAGGCCTTAGAATATATATGGTAACCATTCAGTAACTGCTAGCTGAGAGTATTATTTTTTATGACTACCATTATTAGGTCCTTATTAGGGGATTTCTGCTTATTTTAGTTTTCAGTTACTTTAAGTATTTAATAAAATTGAATGGTTTCCGTAACATTTACTTGCTTACTCATCTACTCACTGTATTTCCCAATATCTTTATGATTTGTTTGCTTTGGGATCTTAAATATCAGAGCCTAAAAATACACAGAGAAATCCATGAGGCTGTAAAAGCCAAGAAGAAGAGACAGGAAAGTAAGGGCAGTGGTTCAGCAGTAGGGAGGAAAACAGAAAAGAGCCCAAAGTGGCAAGTGATAGAACCAGGTTATGGACACCTGGTTGTGAGGGGCAACATGACTCCTGCCGCACAAGTCACACGCTGGGTACTAAGTACCTGTCCTGACCCTGATTTTCTGTGTGCTGGCTTTTTTGGTTGGCTTGACTTCCGTGTCTTTTGTAATAAAACTTTCTCAGCTGAGGAAACCCGAAGACCGCTTTGAAGTGTGGAGAGCATCTATGACACACAGGTGTGAACCAAGTCAAGGATGCCGTGGATATTTACACGAAAGGTCCACAAGGGATCCTGGGCCTCTCCAGCTTTTCGGCTTTATTGGCCTCTTGGCCTTTTGTTTAGGACACAGGCTGCGATCTTACTATTCAACTATCCCTTTGAATGACTGTCTTAATTTTGGACTCACAATCCTGACTTTGATCCAAAGCACCTCTTTGGCTCTCTGTCCTGAATTCTGACTTCTCTATTGATGAATCAGAACTTGGAATAAGCATGTCCTCATGTTTTTCTAGTCATAGAATCCAAATGGCACTGAAATGGAAGGAAGGTTGTGATAGAGTCTGAGTAATGGGCAGTTGGATTGAAAGGCAAGGGATATGAGCAGGAGGGTTTTGGAAAGTAAAACTGATAGACTGTCAGGGGTGAGGAAGAGGGCAAAGTCCAGGGTAATTTCTATGTTTTTGTATTGGTTGCCTGGATGGGCTTTGGGCAAGAAATGGCAGGTTTTCCAGCAAAGAGGACAAGTTGTTGCATAGAGGCAGAGTTGGAGATTTCAGGCGGCTTCTTCCAGCAGATGGTTAAAAATCTAAAGAATTCAGACCATTTCTCCATTGTCCTAACTACCACTTAGTTTGAATTAGTAAGTTGGTCTGCAGTAGATATGGTTATTTTCTTGTCCCCGTTTATTTGCTTTTCAGGAAAATTTGGGCTCATATCATTTCCTAAATAAATTCATATTATTCAAGTTGAGCTTAGAAAAAGATGTTATCATGTGGAAGTCTTCTGAAAAATCTGTGTACCAGGGATCTGAGTTCCAGAGGTGTTTGGTTTTGTTTTGTTTGTTTTAACAATAAAAATGTAACAGGATTGGGTTAATAGTCCTGCAGAAAGTTAATAAATAACACTACATTAATTCTACTGCCTACGGAATTGGTTTCTGTCAGGAAAAAAAAATGTCAGAATGCACAAAAACATCAAGTTTTAAATAACTCAGAGCCACAAGACCATCTTGTGACATCTCGTAAACTATGGTTTAAGAGATTTAATAGGCTGTGGCAATAAATTAATGAATATCAAATTTGAAATGTGTAGCTTCACAAGCATGTCCAGAAGAAAATGCTATTACTTTGCAGAAGTTATATACGTATCAGTCCACAGTGTTACTTTAAAAGTTATTATGTCAGGGTATTTGTTGCATATATGAGGTAAAAAGAAAAAAAAAGTTAAATAACCAAAAAAGGACAGAAAGTCATGGAAAGTGAAAGAAATAAAGTGAAGGAAAGATACCAATAAAAATTTCAAAGAAAAAGGTAAATTAATGAGACACAAAAGTTTTTTTCAGAAAAACTATAGGAATAAAATAAGCAGATGGTATTTACGACGAGGGCCACAAAAGAAAAACTTCCACAGGAGAAGCAACACAAAGACAGAAAAGGAAATTTAAAAATCACAGTAAGAACACAGCCTTACTGATTTATCATTTTATTCCTTAGAAGCCCTCTCTCAATAAAGTATACCACAACTCTGTACAATACAAACAAATATAAAATTACTCATAAATGCGAGAAAGAAATTCAATAAGGAAAAAAACCAAAAACACCAGCACCCATCTTCGGGTGGGGAGACAATGTTTTTTCCTTCTCAGTTTTCCGTACTTGACCTAAATGTCTTCCAGGAAGAGACACTACTTTCATAATGGATGGGAATTAACTCTATTCAAAATGAAGCCCTGCATCACATTTCCTATTAAAATTTAACGCAGCAGAGTCTAAGTCTGCCGCCAGCTAACTTAGGGACCGAACAGGACGCCATTGCCTCCCCGCACACCAGGCTCCAGGTTGCCTTGCGGGGTGGACTGGGCATGCGTCGGTCTCCCGCGTGAGTTCTGCGCAGGCTCGATTCTGGCCGGGACACAGACTGCGCATGCTCCCGGGGTGTGCCAGCATTCCTTCCCAGCTAGGGACCGGGGCCGCGATGCCAGGGGCTCCCACAGTGTCATAGCGGGCAAGGCGGCGTTGCCCTGGGCAGCCGTCCGCTCTCAAATGCTCACCGCCCCCTCCGCCCTCTCGCACATTCGCTGCAGGATGCGGTGAATGCTGGGGAAGCTGGGCCTGTCGGCGGGCAGCTTGCTCCAGCACAGGCGCATCAGGTTGTACAGCTCCAGGGGGCAGTCCTCGGGGCAGGCGAGGATGTGGCCGTCGCGCACGTAGTAGATGACCTCCTCGTGGGCCATGCCATAGTAGGGCTGCAGGCCGTACGAGAAGATCTCCCACAGCACCACGCCGTAGGCCCACACGTCCGACTCAGTGGTGTAACGGTTGTAGAAGATGGACTCGGGGGGCATCCAGCGGATGGGGATGGCGTCATTTTCATTGGCTTTGTAGTAGTCCGCCGAGTAGATGTTCCTGGACAGGCCGAAGTCGGCGATTTTCACCACCATGTTCTCGCCCACCAGGCAGTTCCGGGTGGCCAGGTCCCGGTGCACAAACTTGCGCTCGGAGAGGTAAGCCATGCCAGCGGCCACCTGCCTGGCGATGCAGAGCTGCTCGGCACAGGAGAGGGGCGGTGGGGCAGGGCTGGACGCCTGGGCCCCCCCGGACAGGTCGCGGTGGCTGAGGCTGCACCGGCTGTGCGGGGACATGCTGCGGAGGAACTCATTGAGGTCACCGTAGGCCATGTATTCGAAGAGCAGGCACATGGGTTTCCCGACCGCACACACACCTGCAACCGAAATCACGCGCCTTGTTATGCGGGGTGTCTACCGTGGCCCTCCACGAGGAGCGCTCCGACAGCCAGTGACCGAGGTTGGGCCCTGGCCTTCTGTGGACAGCATCACAGCCCAACCCTGACCCCATCTGTCTGGTCACACATCCCGTATTTTCCTTTTAAGGTTCAGCTTATCTGTCACTCCCGCTAGAATGCCTGGGCTCCCAGCCCTACTGATAGATTTTCCTTCTCTAGGCTTAGGGCTTGCCATCCCATGACAATCATCTATTTGTTTGAGGTTTCTCCTCCAAATTTGTTTGAGGTTTCTCTTCCAACCTGTTAGCACTTTGAAAACAGAAATCATGTCTTACTCTTTTTTAAATCCCACACACCTGCCGGGTATCTGGCACAGCAAGTGCTCGATATGCATTTGCTGAGTGAATTTAGGAATGGATGCTTGTTTTGAACGTGTGATGTTCTGTGTTTCTTCTACTTCTTTGGAGAAGGTTGGTTAGGAAGATGTATGAACTTCGGAAAGGATGACAAAAACAATGGCAAAAATCTTAGGTGAAGTACTCAGTGAAACATTTCAAAGTTTAGGTTTTACAGTGTTTGTTCTAGAAAGAAAAAAAATGTGTATATAGAGCCTCAGATTTAGTGCCAGGAGTACATTTGCAAATTTTAAATTCTTGTATATTTGAGAGGGAAATGGGACACCTTGAAATATTAAATCATTTGGGTTTCACAACTTCATATCACCGTAAAAATAGATTATGAAATCTAGGATTCTTCTTTCAGGCAAAAATTAGAAGTCTCTGTTCAAAAAGGAAGAGAAGTAATGAATACCATTATCTTGGCTTTTTTATTTGGAGGCTGGTTTTTAATTCCAGGGATTTGGCAATCAATATATTTATAGATTTTAGAGAGACAAATTAAGAAATGATAACATATTTTTATGAGCAATTTAAAAAAACAATTTTTTGAACTTTGGTTATTTAATACAATGTTCCATTCCATGGTGCAAAAAATACTATATAGGAAGGAACAGAGATGTCCCTCTGATGAAGAAGTAACGGAAAAGGCACAAGTGTAGGATGAAGGAGGAAAACTTGGAAAGACTCTGTTTTGCAATAAATGCAAATAATTTCAATAAATGCAATACATTTCTTCATTTCTATTTTCATACCTAAGAGTTTCACAATGTTCGGGTTATCAAATTCTGCCATGAGGGCTGCCTCCCTCTGAAAGTCTGCTTGCATGTCTGCTGAGGCTTCTTCTTTGAGCATCTTCACTGCCACCATTGTGAAAGGTTCATAGGGAAGTAAGCCCGGAGCCCTAAGAGATACATTTATATAGGAAGAGATCAACTATCAGGAACATATACATATTCACATTCATCTACACACATTCACATATATTCCTTCCACTTTTGCAGCCTTTCCCAGAGCTACAGAATCAAAAAAAAGATGGCAAGAGTAGATTGTACTTAAACCTTTTTGATGCCAGTTAATAAAAATCACTGGGACTGTTTTCAACACAGGTTGTTTGAAAAATGCATTATTTGTAAATGTCAGGAAATCTGAAGTACACAGATCCAACGAGATTGTTATTACCGCCCTAAACCCTTGATCTCTGGCCAGGATCTAAATTCCTGGATGGCAGGGACCATGGCTTACTCATCTTTATATCCTTTTGAAACCTGAAGTGGTGCCTTGCATATTTTTGGTTCCCCATGAGTATATGTGTGAGATCTTCATTAATCATGTAACCTCCATAGGAGGGCTACTATGAGTGACAGTACGGTTGTGTCCTGCCCAAGAACACCAGGAAAAAATGACAATTGGTGATTAAAACCAAGTCCACGTTCTGTGGCCCCGCTGTGTGTCTGTGAGCCACATCCATGCAGAGAGGGCATTTCCTTCCACTTCACTCAGAGGCAATAAATGGGCTAGCCTTGGCCCTACTCTTGAGCTCATTGTTTTCTGGCATTTTTACATTATTTTCCCCCTTTTCTGCTTTGCCATTCTATGGACATCTATTTAATATCTACACATGTCAGGCTCTGAATTCTTTTTTTTTTTTTTTAAGATTTTATTTATTTATCTGACAGAGATCACAAGTAGGCAGAGAGGCAGGCAGAGAGAGAGTGGAGGAAGGAGGCCCCCCGCCAAGCAGAGAGCCCAATGCAGGGCTCAATCCTAGGACCCCGGGATCACGACCTGAGCTGAAGGCAGAGGCTTCAACCCACTGAGCCACCCAGGTGCCTCCAGGCTCTGAATTCTTAAATGGAAATACTAGTTCAAAGTGAATTTTAAATAAAGTGGAGAAAATAGCAATAGAAAATGGAAGAGAAATTTTACAGTCACTAAAAACAATGCAAGAATATGGTTAAAATGTACAATAAAATTATTTTCTGAAAAGGAAATATAATTAAACTTTGCCAATTGCTCATAATTTGAACACTACATAAATGAAGATTCTCTCCTACCCAGACTTGTTTTTCAGCAGAGAGGAAAAATTATTGAGATTCAAAGTACAGTACTCAGTAAAATGAGGTTAACAATGTGAAGAATTATTTGATGATAATTATTACATATACAACCTAGGCATCAAGGTAGTGGTCTGGTAACTTTTTAGACACAACATATTTCCGTGGCAAGATTTTTCACATGGGTAACTTTACCTTGCTTGAAATACCCTTCCAAATGCTCCCTCTCCAATATCTCTCACGTATTCAATGTTATTCCTTGGGTATTCCAGGCTGAGCAATTTGGGATTCAGAAGGAGGGGCATCCTCTGGTACATGGGGTTGGGATGAAGTCTGTCTAGCAGAAGCTCAGAAGGAAGAGTAGTGAGGGTTACTGCTGCTGATTCTCTGCAAGTAAGACAGGGAAGACCAGTGATAAACTCAGGATCAGGTGAGACCTTTGTACTCGGGCTTGGGTTTTAAAGAGATACGATGTTAGGAGGAAACAAAACAAATTACACTAAGGCAGCCGAAGATCCTTCAGTTTTAGAGCAAGAAATACTTTCTTTGGTCTGGGAGTCAGAAGGTACCTTTTCTTAGGAATTTTGTCACTATCCAATCTGGTGTGGCATTGGGCCTGGGGAGTGGGGGCAGATGGGGAGCAGGAATAGCCATATTCTTCCAAATTATTGTTTAGATCCTACCTGCTGTGAAAAACTAACCTTAGGACATGTGATACTATGCAAAAAGTTACTGATATTTTTAAAGATCATGGCGGGGTGCTTCATCTTAAAGCAAGTCAATGGATGTCATAAAGAGACGCAGTGTTATATATATTCCTCCTCCTGCCCCCAATTCCAATATTCAGTTTGTAGGTTTTAAAACATTACTACATGTGGTTAGCTTACATTAGAATCTCACCTTTTCTTGTTTTTCCATTGTTTTCGTCGTCGGCAACAATAAAAAGTAGTCACAGTAAGAAACACAAATATGGCAAAGCTGGACATGATGGAGATTATTACAGTCATGGAGTATGTAGGTGAGACAGAGAATGAGGAAGAGGAAGAGGAAGGCAGGTCTGGAATGTCCACGCTCGGCTTTGAGGACGTCATGGGTGGGAATGCTGTAAGTAAACAAAATTCTTTTCATTCATTCTTAAACTTTTAAGAAGCAGTCTTTGCATTCAAGCAATCTTCACTAAATTCAAGCAAATTTAGTAAACTAAATTTAATTTTAAGAGTGTGGTTTCGTGGATCAGGTTCTCCCTGGTTATATATTTCTAAAGGCCAAGGGTAAGAATCCAGAGATCCAGTTGTAAGTCAGTCCAGCTTACAGAATCACAGAATTTTGAAGATGAGACCCAGAGAAAGGAACCAATTTTTCCAAGACAAATGCAGATCCTGGGCTAGTGCTCCTTAAATTGCATCATGTTGTTTATGACCTGACAACAATTATGGAGCTAATTATGTTATTAAATGAAATAATTTCATGAAATTGTGGTCAGGATCGTCTACAGCTGAGCTTTTATTACATTTACTGTTTTACAAACAAAACAAAAATAATAGAAGAAGATGAAGAGTGGAAATATAGGGACACAAATGGGAAGTGAGTATATCCAGAAATTGAGCTCCTGTCAAACTTTTATTAAAAAGGTCCATGCAAATATAAAGACAAGGCAAAATCTGCATTACTCTGGAAACCAAATGATGCCATGTTTGTGTCACTCTGTAGAGTGCAAAGTCCTCTGTGTATCTATTAAAACAACCCTATTAATTTATATTTTATATTCTTTCAATTGAGTAAAGACAAAAACATGGGTACAGAGTATCTTAATAATATAATTGACAAGAATGTTCTAATAGCAAACAGTGTACTTCGTACCGGACATGGAGAGAATAAACCCTATTTTCAAATACTTGTGGAATACTGACAGACATGATCTTTGGTCAAGCCACAAAAATAAACCTCAGATTTCAAAAGCAGAAATTATGTGGATTTATTCTTTGGCTAAAATGCAATTAACAATAGACTAAGTAAAATCCATTAGGGCATCTAAAAAAAAAATTCAATAACTTTTCACTCAAAGAGTAAAAAGTAGCCATAGTGACAGGTTCAAAAACATCTTCCTGATAGGGCATATAAGCTTTGGCCAAAGGGAAGTTCAGTGGTAAACTCATAGAGTTGTCTTTCTCCATTAGATCAAAAGGATGAAATTGAATGAGCTAACTCAAGACTTGGAAAAAGAAACAAAAACTACAGAGAACAGAGAAAAATAGCTGATAAAGTAACAACCATGTACAAGCAGAAATTAATAAGTTAGAATACACATACCACAAGTGCTAGAATTTAAAAAGAGGTCAATAGTTGGTCTTACATTTATAAAGTAGTCTATCAGTGGAATTTTAATTTTTAAAAGACAAGAAAGGCACAAACATCCAAAATTAGGAATGGTAAAGGAGTTATTACAGTAGATTGAAATAAAAATGCAGTAATTATGTAATTATGTAGTTACATTTTTTAAATCTTTAGAAAAATGATAGGACCATATTACTGAATTTGAAAAATCAGAAAATCTGAAGTTAGTCATAACCAGGAAATTTAAAAGTCATTATAGAATTAAGGATACATTCTTTTGGTCTTGGAAGAGATTAAATTTCCAGATTTTATAAAATGTTCCAATAAGAGAAAAATCTATCAAATTATTTTAGAAAGTTATGAATACTAACATCACAGCCTGGCAATGTTAGCACAAGGGAAAAGTGCATACATAGATTAAGGAACATAGATTTTAAAAAATCCTAAATGAGATGTTAGCAATTGGCTGCAATATAGTAAAAGAATGTGTTTGATATAAGGAAATATACTAATATAGCACATCCCAAAGTCAAAAGAAAGCTTTTATTACAGTGGATGCCTAAAGCCATTTGAAATAGGACACTTAATAAAAGTGATGACAAGTAGCCAGAGATTACAAGGGGTGCCCATTGGATGACTTAATGTAGGAGTGGAGACATTTTCTATGGCCTGAGCACCAATGGCTAGCAACTGGTTTTAGAGCCTGTGGAGACCCAAGTTTGGTCTTTGCTGTGGCAGGAAGACCATCAGCTCAGGCACTGGAACTGGAAGACTAGCTCAGCAGTGCATTTGTGCAGGAACAGTGAGAGTGTTTCTCATCAGGTATCACAGCGGTGGTAGACTTTGACTTCCTAGATTCCTTTATGATCGGCTTGAAAGCCAAATTGACTTTCTTTGAACTGAGTCATACGAAGGCTTTTTTTTTTTTTTTTTTTTTAGGTAATCCAAGATGGGTGGGGAGGGGTCTTAAATTGGAAAGCTAAACTTCCTGCTGATAATAAGTAGGAGCAAGCATTGAAAGACAGGAAGAGGCGACTATTTTTGTATCTGGATTTCACAGAGCGGTTCAAACTATATTTAACACATGAGGGAATGTAATGTAATTTGCGAAATTGGCTGTGTAATCTCATTAGTAAATATAAGGGTAATTTTTTATCAAAAATATCAGACATGGGGCGCCTAGATGGCTCAGCAAGTTAAGTGCCCGATTCTTGATTTCCCCTCAGGTTATGATCTCAGGGTTGTGAGATAGAGCCCCACATTGGGCTCCATGCTCAGCAGGAGGTCTGCTTCAGATTCTTTCTCCTTTTCCCTTTGCCCCCTACCAAAATAAATAAATAAATCTTTAAAAAAGTATGTCAGACATAGAGATTAATCCATGAAGACTTAGTAAGATTTATTTTCAAAATGCAGAAGTTGGCATTGTTTGAATAATAATTTTGCTTCATTGATTTAATTATATCCTCCTTTCTGGATAGTTCTGTTATTCCTTGTTTATTACTTCTGATCTATTTGCTGTGGCCTTCCCTAGTGACCGATTATCTCTTTGGATCCAAATTATCAATCTGGGTCTCCTTCTTTTTGTCTTTTTCTTCTCTCACTGATTTTATCACATCAGGAGAATTTTTATCCACTCATTCATCCACACGTTAATGTCACTAAGTTAACATTGATGTTGGGTATCCAGAATACTGTGGTGGACCTGACAAATCTTTGTGTTCAAGTATTTAGCTAGGGAACAATTAGTAAATTGATAATTATAATAGAATGTAAGAAGTCTTATAAAACTTATAAGCTTCTGAACATCCAGGGGCAGTTCAGCTCCAGGTCTAGACACACTAGGTAGGTTTTCTAAAATCAGTAATTTTAAATTAAGTGTAAAGGTTGACTAGGGAATGCCCAGTTGAAGGAATATGTGTGGGGTGGAGCAGGAGGAAAGGGGGGGCAGGGAGGGAGGAAGTATTCCACAAAGAAGGAATAGCATATTTCAGAGTCCAAACCAAGCAGTTGTGGTGCTTTCCTAAAAGTGCACCTAAAAGTTTCCTTGTTGACTTGGGGAGTGTGTGTAGATATGGCTGCAGAGATCAGGTCTGTGTCATAAAAGGCCTTGCATGCCAAGGTAAGTAGTTTGGACTTTGCCCTGCAGTAAGTGGGGAGAACCGTGGTGGGACTAGCATCAGTGGAGTAGCGTGATCAGCTTTTTGCTTTAGAAAGATCATCTGCGTGCTTGCAGCCTGAACTCTCCAGAGTGGAAAGAGATGTTCAGTAACACACCATTTTAAGAGGATTTCCACCAGGCAGGTAATAAGGATAAAGAGAAACATCTCCAAGTTTCTTTCTAAACAGAAGCAGCAAATTGCTTATAGGAAAAAGTAACCAGACTCCTATCAGACGACTGATCGTTTTCAAAACGAGAAGCTAGAAAAGAGTGAAATCACATCTGTAGATTACTGATGGAAGAGAAATGTCACTCAAGAATGTGTCCAGCTGATATAGCTTTCGGCTCTTCAGGTGAGAGAAAGCTAATCTGAAGATCAGCTGGGAGGCAGAGACTGTCACCCACAAACCCATCTGAGGAAAAACAGAGTGCGTACAGCTCTGCTGAATTCAGGGATATTGAAATGCCTGCTAAAGAGACAAAGTAAATAGTACAAAGACATTACAAGCTCAAAAACATACTTCATCTCAGCAAAAAGAAAAATTATAGAAATGAAACTACTGAAATTCTACTATGTGTGTTCAAGCAAAAAAAATAAAACAACAACAAAAAAAAACCCTTCCATCACCCTTCAAAGTGCACTGGTAAGAAATATTTGAGGGCTTTATACACTCCATAAAATATGGGACACTCTATCTAGTCAGGATGCCTTCTTTGCTTAGCCATCAACCTAACTTAAAGGCCGGAGCCGATTTCTTCAATAATATGCATTTAATCAGGGAGCATGGTTTTAGATGTTCCCCATGACATGGCCAAGTGAAATGATCCACTGATGACATTTGCAGTTCATTTTCTTATAGGTACCAAAGATTTCATAAAACTAGGTTTTTAAGAATAGGGAATTGGTTTATTGTAACTAATTTATGCTGTTCACAATTTTTTAGAATCAGTATACGAGGCAGAAATATGGATTTTGTGTGTGTGTTCGTATTTAGTCTAGGACTGAAGGTAAGCACCTTCCATACAGTGGAATGAATGCCTGGATGGATGAATGAGTAAACAATCAAGGGATAACGAAGACCACAGACACCAGTTAAAGGTCCAATCAAACTGAACTTTAGCTGCTTGTATGACAAAGAATCGAAAAATTTCTTTTTCATTCCTTCCGTTTGGAAATAACAATTTGAAAGGCTTCCAGAGTAATAGATTTTTAGGGTTTCCATGCTGCTGTTCTTTATTAACACCAAGCAGTTCAAGTGGGACCAGTAGCATTCTTTCTTTTAATACTCTAAGTCTCAGTCCTTGAAGGAAGCTGGAAAAATCAAGGCCTGGCTCTTAGCCAGGTGCAGAGGCAGTCACGCCCCGAAGATAGATCACAGGAAATTATTACGATTTAAACCTTAGATCACTCAAATCAGAGGAAGTTAATTGACATGAAAACTTTTCTAGTTTCATTCTGAAGATTTCTGCATTGTGGTAGGTTAAAGCATCCTCAGATACAACTTTGTGTCTAGGACATCTCTTTCCAAGCAACCTTCTTGAATTCTTCCCTAGGGATTTTGAGGCACCCAGTTTTAAAACTGTTTGGTTTGACCCTGTAAACTTTATGCTAGAAATTAGCTGTCTTAACATCCATCTTCCAAAAGAAAGATCTGTTGTCACAAACGAGGATCATGAATTGGCTCAAAGAACAGATAAATATTTGTTTTCATCTGTAAATAATTAGATGTTATGAAAATCAAAAATGTAAAATCAAAAGGTGACATTTTCAGTTTGGCTTACTTTGTAGCCATAGAAAGGATCAAGCAAGTTATAACCTTGGGGTAGGGGATATTATTTGTATCTTTTAGTAAATAACAGTGCTCTTTATGGCCTAATTAGGAGCTGTAAGCTGAAATTTCTGATGATCTTCCTTCATGTTTTACACCAGTAAGCTTAGCAAAAAAAAAAACCTTTGAGGGGGCCGTACATTCTGTTCTCTAAGTATGAGTGTAAATACGCATGCATGATTCCAATTACATACACATAAGGGTTCAAGGGCACAAACAAAATTACTTACTTGTTAAGTTTTCCTTTTTATAATCTGAGGGGGAAAGGATAAAAATTTGTTTTAAATGAGCATCCAGATAACTTCACATATTCTGTGAGAGAGTGCTAAGAAATGTGAGTTCTCTTTCAGTTTTTCAATATACAACTGGAAAACATTCTTTGCATTCGAATGAGAAAGGATTGTGTCATTGAAATTAAACCAGCTGTTAGGGCTAACAACATCGTTCCTTCCACACGAAGTTCATTAAACAACATGCAGAGATTCAGCTTTGTTTTGTGAGATCAGCATTTTCAGCCATGTGGCTTATTTTTGCATGCTTAGAAATCTGCTTTGCTGGCTCAGAAGGGGGACTTTATTCTTTTATTCCACTCATCTGACACAATATGAGGTTTCTTAGCCTTTTCTCTGCACATTCCAAAAAAATGTTACAAGCTCTCGTTACGAAATAAGATCTTAAGCAGCAGTGAAAAGTGCTCCTTAATTTCTTTTCGAACAAATGAAATTAAACCCCAATGCTAACTTGGGTAATTAGGATAGACAGCAGGATTCTGTAATTAAGTATCTAAAAAGGGCAGAACTCAAAAAGTACATTAGAAATGCCTAGAAATATTGGGAGATTTAAGTTCACCGCTTAGCTTCTTCAAAATAATAGATTTGTCTTAAGCTCTAAAGTCTTGAGAGAGCTTTGTTACCTAAATATGGCAGTCTGGCGCAGGCCGTGGGGTCCCAGTGCATGCTGGGCAGCTTGTAGCAATCTGGCATGGAGAGCGGGTGCATCCCAGATCTGTAGAGTCCTCTGTGAGTCTTTTCTTCCATTGCCTGCCATTCTTTTGCACAGAAGAGCTCCTTTACTGCCAGGCAGTATTCTCTAAAATATTTTATAGAGAACAAAACTTGATGAGTCATAGCATGTCAAGGCCAAATTTGTGGCAGAGCCTAGATTTCGTATTTTTAAAACATCATCACTGTTCTTGCAAAAGTGTTTTTGAAAGGTTCCTTTTATTGTAAAGAATTTGAGACTTTATGAAGGAGCATATAATCCCTGAGATGAAACGCTGTCTTGGTCTGTTAGTGTAGTTAATGCTCCTGGGGGAAAAGAATTGTGAAGTTCAGAAGGTAACAGATGAGGAATCCCTAATATGCATTCTCTCAAAGTCGTGTGAAAATAAATACAAAGGGACAGAAACAAGGTACATCGAGTTTTAAAAATCTGCATAATAAAAGTCCTAGGTCATTGTCAGTCAGTTTCAAGCCTGAGAGATTTTCCTGTTATCTCAGGGCTAATGGGCAGGGACTAAGGAGCACAGTTGGCACCTCTGCATATTTTGTACACCAGAAGGGAAGAGCATCGCCTTCCTGTTGGGTTACTGGAGGGCATGGGAGTCCTTTCCCACCCTAGCCTTGGGGAGAAGCTGCCTCCTAGCCCGGGGCTGTGTGCGCTTCTGTCTGAGAAGGCCAGAGTAATTTAGTCTATTTCAATATAAAATGTTATGTTCATCCATGTGCTTTATTGCAAGTGAAGAGGCTGAAGAAAGACTAGTTGGACTAATTAGAATTTTGTGCATGATATTTGTTTTTTTATCTTATAGAAAATAGGATAGATGACATAGAAAAAAAAACTGGTTAACTCCAAATTAAAATATTTGGGATTAAAAATAAAAGGAAATTAAAGAATATTAAAGAAATTAGAGATAATAGCAGTGTTGCTCATTCAGAATCTAAAGGATTCAGAGAGGAGGAAATTGTGTTTGTGTGTGTGTGTTTGTGTGTATGTATATGTAAGCATGCATATGCATTGGGACATATATATGTCCCAATGGTATCTTTAAAAAACACTCATGCCTACACTGCCACTTTTCTGGGCAGCCACCTGTCAATATGGGCCAACTGAACATGTGTGGAATGAAAGGGCCGTGCATATGAATGTGATGGGATACAATGTGGTCATAAGAACAACAATAGGATTTAGAATTCTTGATGTATCTGTAATGGAAGGGAGAGCAGTAGGGCTTTCAAGGCTTTTGAGAACTTGAAGAAGCAGAGGAGTATTGCTTAGCTTGCTTCTTCTTATGCCTGGGTCTCACCCTTGAGTCACACGAACACAACTTTCTACATTCATACGGCACTGTTAGACTGTACAAAAATAATATGGGGCAGGTGAAAAAAATTCTGTGGTCTACATTATGTGGAGGAAGCAAATAACATTGGAAAGTTATTTTTTTATCTTAAGCAGAACACATGAGAAAAATTTTTGTTTGTTTTGCTTTGTTTTCATTGACGTGTATTAAAGACGACCTCTATAGAAGAGTTTTTCATGGGGAAAAAAATCAGGATGAAATGTAAAATAGCTGAAAACTAAGTTAACTTGAACATAGTAGCAACTGAAGAAAGTAAAGACCACAAAGAAGTGAAAGGGACACCAAAGAACTTAAAATTGTCATAAAAAACCATAAAGAAATGGCACTACAAGATGTTGGACAAATAACAGGAAAACTTGACAAGTCTGAACTGAATGCAGACAGAAAAAAGGAAGAGTGAAAATATATGAGGAGACAGCTGAAGGGGAAGAGCCGGCAAGAAATCCAGCATACAGATAATGTTTCCCCATAAGAAAACTAGAGTGTGTAAGAAATAGAAAATACTCAAAGATATACTAAAAGAAAATATTTTTAGGACAAAAATGATGTAAACCTGTTAATTAAGGCACATTATCCATTATTTTTGCATTACTGAAAGGAAAGAAAATAATAAAAAGAGAATTGCTCCCAGATGAATTTTACAAATCTTTTGAATCTAAAAGATGAAAAAATAGTCCTCCTACTATTTGGCAAGAGAAAATATTCCCTCCAAAGGAACAAAATTCAGGATTGCCTTATATGTTCTTCATTACAGCACAGCCAAAAAACAATTAGAGTACGTAAGATTTTCAGGAAAATTAAATGTAACAGAAGACTTAAATAGAAACACACACATACTCATAAGATTATGGTAAAAAGTTTTTTATGTGTTATCTGAAAAAATACCTACTCCAGCGGAAAAAGAGATGAATAAAAATAGAGAATTTAAGAAAAAGATTTTCTATGATATGAATGACAGTGAGCATCAGGAATAAGTAATAGATCTACACCAGGTGGTTGTATATATGATTATGTAATCAAGTGTAAAAGCTAAAAATAATGGTCTAAAAATTGCTCATAAAACACAGTTGATAATACTAACCTGACTTACAATTCCAGATAAAATTTTCAAAGACCATGCGTGGAGTATTCAGTAAAATTATGCTTAACTTAATTAGGCCTACCCTCAACACCACCTATTTTTTTTAATTAAAAACAATTTTTTTATAAACATGTAATGTATTATTAGCCCCAGGGGTACAGGTCTGTGAATCACCAGGTTTACACACTTTACAGCACTTACCATAGCACATACCCTCCCCAATGTCCATAACCCCACCACCCTCTCCCTACCCCCTTCCCCCTGGCTACCCTCAGTTTGTTTTCTGACATTAAGACTCTCTTATGGTTTGTCTCCCTCCTAATCCCATCTTGTTTCATTTATTCTTCTCCTACCCCCCCTAACCCTCCCACATTGCATCTCCACTTCGTCATATCAGGGAGATCATATGATAGTTGTCTTTCTCCAATTGACTTACTTCACTAATCATAATACCCTCTAGTTCCATCCACATCATCGGAAATGGCAAGATTTCTTTTGTTAATACCCTATTTTTAAAATCACAACTTTTTCCACCATCCTTGGCACCCTAATCTCCCTTAACCTGGTGCTCATTTTTTCTTTTCCCGTGATTCAAGACACCTCCTAAGGTAATATATAAGTTATTTATTGTGTCTCTTGCTCATCGTCGTCTCCTGTTAGAATGTAAGTCCCACAAACAAATGCCCTAGTATAGTGCTTAGAGACCAGTAGAAGCTCAATAAATATTTGTCAAAGAAATTCTTTGTCATTCATGGAAAGTTGGACAAAGTATTTAATTACTATTTATGATTAGAAAAGCATGAGTATATGCGGAATTTAAGAAGTAAAACAGGTGAACATATGGGGGGGTGAAAATAGGGAAACAAATCATAAGACTCGTAAAGATAGAGAACAAACTGAGGGTTGATGGAGGGAGGTGGGTGGGGGATGATTTCGATGGCTGATGGAGGTTAAGGATGACACTTGTTATAAGGAGCCCTGAGTGTTGTGTGTAAGTGATGAATCACTGAATTCTACTCCTGAAACCCCCCCCCCCAAAAAAAAGAAGAAAAGAAAACCGCGAGTAATGGTTTTAAAGAATGCTTTTAAAAATCTCACAAATAACTAGAAATAATTAGAAATGCAAAATGGTTGAAGACTTTTGAACCACTTGGAAGGATAAACAAAAGCTCTAAGGAAAGGAATTTTTTTAAAGTATGCTATAATCGACTTAAAGATTTAGGAGATGATTATGCTATCCTAATAAATTTGAAATCTCATTGAAAGGGATTTTTTTTAATCTAAAAAAACCAAAAAAGGTAAATTATTCTCAAAAAGAACATGTGTGGCTTTTCCATGTAAGCTAGCCTAGGACATGTTGGAAAGTTACTCAATAAATTTATTGCTAGCATATAAAGATACAATTCAATTTTAATTCTGATTGTTCTCCAAGAGATACTTAGATGTTATGTCTGATGAAAATATAATTATCTTGGATGAAGGAACAGCAAGTTATATTCATCTTACAACTTTTTCAAACCCTCAAAATTTGCAGTGAGTTGAGGAATAGAGCATTCTATTTTAATGACCTCAAGGCGCTATGATTATTTCAATATTTAAATAATTTCTGGTTTTATCAAAACAGAGGTGGAAATGTGCTGTGTTGGTAGTTTTCATGTGTTTTCTTCAGAAGAAAACAGTGTCTATCCAGTTTCTAACATATACCATGAGGACATTTTATCCTTTAATTCTCTCTGTTTTGCAGATGAGGAAACTGAAGGTTAGCCAAGATTACACGTATCTAGAAAGCAGTACAAACGGTACTTCAACTTTGTTCTACTTGGCTCAAAAGCCAGTTTGATTCCGGTCTTTCCTACATAAGAAGTAAATAAAGGCAAGATAATTCTATCAAACATGGATTTATGAATTTCCATGTTTAAAGAGTATGGGTGTTTTAAAGAAATAACTATTTATTAACCCCCCCACCATGAGAAGGAATGTTAGTATTTAAATTAGAACATTGGGTGGAATGTATTTTAAGATAATACACATATTATAGAAAGTAATATTCTGAAATGGTCACCAAGAGCTCATATTCATCAGCAAATAGTGCTGAAACATTTGAAATGGACCTTTCTTTTCCTTCTCTAGTGTAGCTTACTAATGAGGTCCATGTTTGCGGTTTTTTTTTTTTTTTATTTCACGGAAAGCTAGAACTACTTGTAAATATGATGATGTGAACAATAACAAGTAAAATAGAGTATTATTCCTTTTATGACACTTTCTAGAAATTCAGAGCCCTTGTATTTTAGGACGTCATCAGTGATTTACACGGCAGGAATATTGTCCAATTAATGACTTCTATTTTGGATGAAAGCTACCTTTTCATAGCACGGGACAGTTTTTTTTGAAAACTCTTCAGTTTGCATTCAACAGAATCTTCCCACTTTTTTCTTTCTTTCTTTCTTTTGTTTAACTTTTACCTGCAAACGGGTAGAGGAGTCGGCACTGCTGTGGGGTTGCAGCCTTGGAAGATGTGGTTGCACAGCAAAGCCTCAGCAGCCGGCCGGCAAAACGGGCTCACGGCTCTCAGTTCACTCCAGGCGGTGTGAACCAGCAGTTCTTGGGCCTCCTCAGGGTCTGCGTAGGAGTTGTTGAAGAAAACCAGAGCGTCTTTGGCCAGGACAGCATCACATACCTCCCCTTTGTAATGGGCGCAGTAGCCTTTGTTATCTTTCTGAAGTTTACTGAAAGAAGACAGGAACATTCTCGATTCAGTCTGGGAACTTTATTATTATTTGTTTTTTTATTTTTATTTTTTTAAATTTTTTTTGAAAAATGTATCTATTTATTTGACAGAAAGGCAGGCAGAGAGAGAGGGGGGAAGCAGGCTCCCTGCTGAGCAGAGAGCCTGATGCAGGGCTTGATCCCAGGACCCTGGGATCATGACCTGAGCCCAAGGCAGAGGCTTTAACCCACTGAGCCACCCAGGGCCCCTATTATTTTTTAAATTTCCACCTCTGCATCACATCAGTAGAAGATTAGACTAGTAACTTAACCGGATTGTTTTGTCTGAATACCATCTCCCTTCCCAGCTATTATTCTGCCACCTCCAGCTGCTCCAGACGGTTATGATGAGGATCACGTGTGATAATGGGTGTAGAAAGCTTTGGGAACTATCAAGGACTGAATAGATTTGGGTAGTTTTATTATTTTACATTATAAATAGAATTTAATTACTCTTGGTTAAGGCACTTCCTATGCTTCTTACAAATGGAGCTGATTTCAGCAAGTAAAGTGCATCTAAAAAAACACACACATTGTGACATTTAACAGATGATTGAGCATAACAGTTGTGGTGACCCAGCTTTATGAACATAGTTTATGTATTATGATAGTGAAGTCCCTGAACTTTATGGAACACATTCATCTTTGTGACACCTACTGTACCCAGATTCTCTCACTCATACATCTTCCCAGCATTTCATTAAAGACTTAAAAAGAAAGCCATATAGGGAGGAGGAATTTGGGATCAGGGTCTCAAAGGAGCTAAACAGATCTTCAGCTTTGCTCTTTCTTCATCACATGACTTGGGGAGAGTCATCTGGTCACTCAGAGCCCCGAGGGCCTATTCTGTTGAGTGATGTAAGCAATTATTCTGAACTCAGATCGTTTGTTAATGGATAATATATGAGGAAAATACTTAAATTGTATAGTGCTAGCACAAAAATAAGATTGAAAACTTCTCTGGCGTAACAACTGAAGAGAATAAGAGGGAGAATGGAAAAATACTGCTGGTACTTTCTGCACATACCCACTGCCCCCTAATGGAATGCTTGCAATTATAATAATAACTCCTATGCTCACCTCACCCGAGTTATAATAGCTCCTATGCTCACCCCTCACCTATTTATTGAGCACTTATGTGTATACACTGACATATTCTCAACATATTCTTATGCTTTCCATCAGATCTATATTGTTAACAATGACAAAAAACTAAGTTGTATTATCATTTGGATTTGTACAATTATTGAAATTCCACATTTCATTATCTTTATATGAACAATTTTAAGGTAAGATAATTAAATTGGAATTTGTGAGAAATTCTTAAGTTGTTAAGAGACCCCGTTGGAATCTGAACAATTGTTAAGCTGAATTAGAAACTATGGCTGACCAGTGTTCAAAGCAAATTTATTGAATAGCGTACAGCTCATTCAGGTAAAACGATGAGCTTCCAAGAAACACCATACTTTGAAATTATGTTTCATACTATAGAATCTTCCTCTGATTCAGACTTGCCTTTACTAATTAGCCAGTGCAAATTTTATTACATTATTTGTAGTTTGTAGTTCCTTTTAAAAATGAAGGCCTTGAATTAGAAACCAAAGATGTCATGAAAACTTGGGCCAGGAAAGGTTCAGCAAAAACCCAGAGAAATAGCTTATGTCCCAGTCTTGTAGGGAATCCTGGTCTGTGATAACCCTAAGAAAGTTCAAGAAAGGCAAGGATGCCGTACTTTAAGAAACCAAAGAACAATACCTAATAACCAGAAGTGCTTCAAACTGGTTTACTAAATTGTCTCACATATTAATATAATATCTTGGTATAAAGGGGGGACAGATAAAAGCAGGTGGGATTCTTTTCCTTTAACACAAGAATTTGGTCATGGAAAAGTTAAATATTCCCCAAGTACCTCTGAGCTGAGAATTGTTCATCCAGGTTCTGCTGTCACATGTTAAGCACTGACTGTCTTTATTTTTCCATAAATATTTTTTAAATTAAAAAAATTCATGATTTTTCCTTTAGTTATACAAGCAAAAAAAAAAAAAAGAAGAAAAAAGAAAAAAGACAATCCCAGAAAAGGTGCACAAAAGAAAAATTAATAAAAATAACCTCAAAAATAAGGATTATTGACAATTAATAATCTCTTTCTGTGTATATTTGCTGCCTTTCTTAATAAATGACCTAGAAAAATCTTTGGAACAACCTCCATTGGCCTGATAGTACTGGGTCCTCATTTATTTATTAGCTATATAATGTAAAGGAAAAAAAAATAACAGACCAAAGAAAAGCAGAATAAGTTTTGAATAGAAATGAGTTATTGCTTTATAATTTTGGTTCTTCTTTCTGCCAGCTTGCAGAGAAGTAGCCTTTTCTGAGAAGTGGAAACCCTTTGCATGTTGGGAAAAGACATGAAATATAAAGAATATGGTTCTTATTAATTTTCTGTGCCTCTGTGATGTTCCTAGGAGCATTAAAGACTTAGCTTTGGAAGGGTATCCATGCTAAGATCAGCTCTACAAATAAAGGATATACATATGTATTACATATACACACATGCATCACATATATATATGCATACACATGTACATATATAGAGACTTCCCAGTTACACTTTCAGAGTTTAAACAGCTCCCTTTTCCTCTCCTCTTTTGTAGCGTCATAAACCTCTAATTTTTCATAGTATCAAATTTCAGAGGCAAGACATGGAAGTGTATGGGGCCATGGTCCCTCCTCCTCCTAAGCCTATCGCTTAAAATTAAAAGAAGCTCACAGCAAAAACTGGGGGACAAGATGAATGCAAAGAATTTCCACTGGTGTCCTCTGCTATCTTTTGCAAGTGAACTGTCCAACTACAGTTGGGTTCCTCTGCTTGCAGCTCTTGGAACTGCCAGTGGAGTAGCACCAGAAGCAGCTGGTCCTGTTGGTCCTTCAAATAGTGGGGCAGAGGTCACGGGGGTCTGTTCACAGAATGCTGGTTATTTTGGAATGGGCTGCCAGACAGGCTCCAAAAATGCTCGTTCATATTGCATGTGGAGCCAGCCCCTCTCTTGCCTCCTGACGAATGAAATCCGGCTGACTTCCCTTTCTGTACAGTGTTTCTTTTAGCGGCAATGACGGATATATGTCTCAAATCCCGCCTTTAACTTAGATCACTCTCCTTGGTCAAATTGAATATTTAAAGGATTCTCCCTACACTTTTTACTCTTCTCTCTGCTTCGACAGGTGTGAACCACATCCAGTAGGGCATTTTTCTTTGTGATCTCGCAGTTTCTAAGAGGGAGTCCTCTATTTCCTTTGAACACATAGTACTTTGTCCAGGGCCATATCCAGACGGCCAGCTGGGGCTGGTTTGGGTTAAAGCAATTCCACGCGTCCCATGGAAACTCGCACGGGTTTTCCTGGCCTCCTTAGCGGTGGCACACCAGAGAGCTCTAACTGTCCCCTGGCACAGTACTTCCTCCTCACCCATGGTTTTGCTGTCCCTGGTTTCAGTCACCCTCGGTCAACCACAGTCCAGAGGCAGATGCTGCTCCTCCCGACACACGGTGGGAAGGTCACAGGTAGCCTCCCACTAGGTCATCACACCTGCGACTCACCTCGCTTCGTCTCATCTCGTAAGCATGTTCTCATCTCACATCATCACAAGAGGGGTGAGTACAGTATGATATTTTGAGAGACCACATTCACAACTTTTATTACAGGATATTGTTATACCAGTTCTACTGTATTATTACTACTGTTAATCTCTTCCTATGCCTAATTTATAAATTAAATTTCATCATAGGTATATACAGGAAAGAACCCATAGTATTTGTAGAGTTCAGTACTGTCCATGGTTCCAGGTACCCACTGGGGGTCTGGGAACATATCACCTGTGGATAAGGGAGATCTACTCTAGAGGTAGATCTTTCCTTATAGAGCAACTGCCTACGGCAACTGTGCTTCCCCAATAAGTGTGATGGTGGCGTTCTACACCTCTTTGAATCCGCAAAGCAAACTGGGATTGCTTTTATTCTTTCCATACCTATTGTCTTTGTATCTGATTCATTCTCTAAGTCAGGGGTCAGCAAATGCAACCCACAGGTCACATTCTGCCCTCTGCCTGTCTTTATGCTGCCTGTGAGCTAAGAATGATGTTCACATTTTTAAGCGATTGAAAAAAATCAGAAGAAGTGGAAATTGTATGGCATTCGGATTTCCATGTCCATAAGTAACATTTTCTTAGAACAGAGCCAGTTCGGCCATTTCTGAGCTGTCTGTGGCTGCTTTTGCTCTGTAGTAGCAGAGCTGAGCAGTTCCAGCAGAGTCTGCATGTCCACAGAGCCAAATATATTTAATATCCGGCCTTTTGCAGAAAAAGGGTTTGCCAATCCCTGCTCTAAGGCATAGATCAAATGTCATTTTTCTGAAATACCAAACCCAGTGTCCTCAAGGACATGGTTTCCTCTGTGAAACACCTCTTGTAGTTCTTCTAAAATTAGTACCGAGTTTTCGTGTTAAATAAAGATGCAAAAACTGACGATGTAAAGAAAGCATTTTTAAGTTTAAAAAATTTGAAAATTATATTAGCCAAATATATAAACACTGTATATATTTTATATATTTGTATATCAGTTATAATCAGTATATATGTAAGTGTAATATATAGTGTTATATATAATGTATAGTATGTATGCATACTTTATATATACAGTATATTTGAATTATTCTGTAAATGTCTTTTTGTATCCTGCATTTTTATTTAGCATGATTATAACAAGCATTATTAATAATATAAGAATTAATAATATAATTAAACATTTGCTTGTGCTATTATATTTTTCAAAAGCATGGTTTTTAATCTCACCAATTTCCCTTAATACCGACATTGCTCATAAATTTCATTAATAATAGTGTTTTTTTTCAATTTTGTTTTGTTCATACACTTACTTCCTTAACATAGATCACTAAAACTGGATTTATCCAGTCAACAGAACAGCCATCTAAGGCTCTGATAAGAACTGCCAAATGCTCTTTAGAAAGGTTATAGCAGTTTTCTCTCTACCAGTGGTTTAAGATTGCCCATGTTATCACAAGTGAAAAACAGTATGGAATTTTTAAAATTTTATTGATACTAATAGGTTTTTGGTTTTTCATTTGCATTTACTTTCATTTGAATGATCTATTTCTGTCCTGGAGTCCTTGGAATTTGTCCATGCTTCCATTATTATGTTTTGTGTGTGTGCATACATGTACACCTACTCAAAAGTAAATTACTTGGGGGCAGTGAATACATACAACTTGTTTTGTTTTTCCACTTTCCAATATAGTGCCGGAAATAGAGTAAGTGGTTTAAAAATGCATTGGAAGGACAGGAGTGCTGAATGGCATGTAAAGGAAAGATGACATCTCTTTTCTTTTCAGCCTGCATTTTAATTTAACTTTTACCACATTTATATTGTATATCCATTCAGAAGATATTCAGTTTCACTGTACAGTCCTTAAGGACAGTACTGTCTCTTAGAACTGTGATAAGTGGGGTGCGTGGGTGGCTCAGTCAATTAAATGTCTGCCTTCAGCTTAGGTCATGATCCCAGGGTCCTGGGATCGAGTCCCGCATCGGGCTCCCTGCTCAGTGGGAATTCTAATTTTTTCCTCTACCCCCTCCCCAAAGCTTGTGATCAATCACTGTCTCTCAAATAAATAAATAAAATCTTAACTATGATAAGTGAACGAATGCATCAAAGCTACATGAATTGGCACAAGATCAGGAACTAACCAAACTTTCTTATGCAATGAATTATTTTATTCCATGGAATTAGAATCAGTGGTTGAAGTTCTAGGTGCTGCTCAGTTACCGTGCTATCTGGGTTAGTATAGTAGTTATCAAATCTAAGTTCTTGAGTCTGTGTACCCGAGCTCAGATTGAGAGTTTATAGTTTGGTCTATCTAGTGCATCACGTGTCTCATATGAAAGAATACGGATGATAATAGGTCTTGCTCCATAAAATCACTGAAATATTAATATGAGAAAAGTGGTGATCATAAATGTACCACAAACTTAGCTGCTGTTATCATTGTTATGATTACTAAATGATCATTCTGAATCTTGGTTTTGTTACCTACAAGATTAGATAAAAACAGTTATAATGCTTCATAGAGTTTTTAGGAAAGTCAGTTTTACTGAAAACAAAACACTGTACATTGCAAAATGTTATATTACAAGGTGACACTTTCTTATCTACAAGATAAAGCTATGAGGGAGAATTGGGGAGTCTGTTCTGGGTTCAGTTTCCAAGCCTATCACTTACCGTTTGTGTAAGTCACTGGAACTCTCCATTTCAAAGAAACTCTCTTAGTTTCTTTTCTGTGCAATAGGGGTAATAATAGTACCTGTTTCCTATGGATGTCCTGAGGATAAATTAAATAATGCATGTAAAGCTCTTGTTTAGCAGTGTCTGATACACAGTAAGTATTTAGTAGATGTGACTTATCTTCATCTTCATTATCATCGCATAAGAGATTAGAAATTAGAAAGTTCCTGAAAGATCACTGTACTCAGCAAATAGCAATAAAGGGCAGGTCAAATAAAAAACACCACAACAAAACATGGATGTCACAACTGCTATCTTACCTCCATTCTATGAACAGGAAAGGAAGTTCCCACCGGAAGTCACATTAAAGAGGAAAAGAAACAAAAGTTAGTACATTTGAATCTTAAGATGTGCAAGAGATAGCTTTGATACCTCTAATGCCTATTTCTGGAAAGTTTTCTTTGATTAGGAAGCCAGACACTGCATTAACAGGCAGATTTGGAGGATATTAATAAGAGAAAACTGAGAGTCTCCGGGAACTGTGTTCTTTTCAGGCTGGGTCCACCACTGGCATCATCAGCCCAGGCAGTGTCAGAGCTCCCAGTTCCCCTCCACTGGCCACCAAGAGACTTCATATCGTGGAAACAGCCTAAAGATGAGAAATCAGCCTATAGAAAGCACTTACAGGACCCAAGCTGCAAGGTAGTTCTGCCATTGTGCAGAGAGGAAAGATGAAAGGAGACATCAGGAAATTCTTCTAGTGAAAATGGCATATACTTTGGAGGGGTTAAGGCAGCCTCTAACAGGAGGCCAAGGTTATGTATCTGAGAGAGCCCTCGGTTTAAGATGTAAAAGGATGATTCGAGATCCTGAAGATGTGCCAGTGCCAAAGAGAACGAAGCTGTAGTATTTGGGAGGAAATAATAAGCTAAGTAGGCTTCTATTTCAAAGATGAGTAGGGAAGGAAAAATGAAACTAATTCAGGAGTGCCTGGATGTGTCAAGAATAGTAAGAGAATCAGAAGTTTTCCGTGTGTTTGTGACAGAAGTTCCTCCAGTCACATTTTCTCTTGGAAGGTGGGGAGCAGGGGAAGGGTCCAAGAAGGTTACAGTTATAAACAAAGTGCTTTGATCTCAAACTAGATAATTTTTAAGATTCCAAAAATTGCCAACCGTCCTCAATAAGTGTAGTATCCTTAAAATTACCTGGAAAAGCCAGTAAAACTCTGTCTTCTGACACACGAAGTGACTTTAATATGGGAGAGCTGCCTGATTGTAAGTTGGGGAGGGTTTGTGCTATGGTGAGGGGGGATAAAAAAAGAAGCTTGCCTCTTCCGCCTCCCTGCAAAACAGCTGAGAGCAGTTAGAGTGGCTACTGGCTGTTACGCATTTATTCTTTTCCCTTTCATTTCAAACAAAAACAAACACCTTTAATTAATTTGAAACCAGATAAAGCCACCGTGAAACACCCGTGGTCACTGTCTGTTCTGTTGGTCAGAGCACTCGCCCTATCCCGGATGAAGCACTGGGTGGTAAAGCTGGTCGTGTGCTGAGGCCTCTCCACGTGTCTCATAACCGGGAAGAGCATGGGGGTGGGACTCGGAGTATGACTCTCAGGCAGGAGAGAGTCCGTCGTGGAACGGGGTAGTACATTTCAATTAGCCATTATCGATGGTGAAAATATAATTCAAACTTCTATTGGTTTTTTTTTTTTTTTTTGGTAGTAGTGTGAACTATCAATGCTCATAGAGTATATAATTATGTGGCCCATTGGCGGGGTGGGGCATACCAATACTACTACATCAGACCCCGCCCTACACCCAATTTTGGTTATGTTCCATGTATTCATTTGAGTTTTAAATTCAGTGACTGGAAGCCCCAGATCCTGAGGTCAGTCCAGAGAAGGAGCATTGCAGATAGAGGGGGTGGGAGTGTTGGTGGAGTGAGGGGTGACATGTTGGAATACAGATTCATTCCTGTACTCTCAGACTGGATAAGAATAGATGGAATGCTGAACCTCAGTCTTCCAGGAAGGACCTATTAATGTCACTGAGCATGGGAAATACAAACTTTTCCTCTACTGAATCCCTTTGTCTTTTCTTTTCATTCTTTCTTTTTTCTTTTCTTTTCTTTTTTCTTTCTTTTTTTTTGGCCAGCTTTCCTGAGATATAATTATGATATTGTGTAAGTTTAAGGTATACACTTATATATACACTTATATAATGCAAAATGATGACTGCCTTAGCATTAGCTAACAACTCTATCATGTCTCATAATTATCATTTCTTTTTTTGTGGTGAGAACATTGAAGATCTAGTCTCATAGCAACTTTCAAATATATAATACGGCATTATTAACTATAGTTATCATATGGACAAAGATTCCCAGAATTTATTCATCCTATAACTGGAGGTTAGAACCCTTTGACTAACATCTCTCCATTTCCCCCACTGCTCAGCACAGGGTAGCTACCACTGTACTCTGTTTCTATGAGTTAGACTTTTCAGATTCCACACATAAGTGATATCATATGTATCTGTCTTCCCTCTGATTTATTTCACTTACCATAATGCCCTCAAGTTTAATCCATGTCCCAAATGGCCAGATTTCCTTCTTTATCATTGTTGAATAGTATCACATTATATGTATATATGTATATGAGACACGGTAAGATACACAATGGGGTCTGTTATATATATCACATCTTTATCAGTTTGCTGACAGAAGCTTAGATTGTTTCCATATCTTGTAACTAGCATCTACTGTTTCCGTATATTGTGAATAATGCTGCAATAAACATGAGGGTGCAGATACCTCTTCGATATCCTGTTTTCATTTCCTTTGGATAAATATCCACAAGTAGAATTGCTGGATCATACAGCTCTTCTATTTTTAATTTCTTAAGGATCTTGCATTCTGTTTTCCATAGTGGCTGAACCAATTTACATTCCCACCAACGGTGCGCAAGGGTTTCCTTTTCTCCGCATCCTTGCCGATGCTTACGAACTCGTATCTTTTTTTTTTGATAGTCATCCAAACAGTTGTAAGGTAATATCTCATGTGGTTTTGATTTGCGTTTCCCTAATGATTAGTGAGGTTGAGCACCTTTTCATGTCCTGTTGGCCATCTGTATGTCTTCTTTAGAAAACTGTCTGTTCAGATCCTCTGCTCATTCAAAAAAAAAAAAAAAAAAATTGGATTGTCTTTTTGCTTTTGAGTTGTATGAACTGTTTATATATTTTATATTAATCCCTTCTCAGATACGTATTTGAGAATATTTTCTCCCATTTCATAGGAAACCTTTTCATTTTGTGGATGGTTTCCTTTGCTGTGCAGTAGCTTTTTAGTTTAATGTAATCCCATTTGTTTGTTTTTGTTTTTGTGGCTTGTGCTTTTGGTGCATATCCAAAAAATCTTCACAAAGACTGATATCAAGCTTATTGCTTATGTTTTCTTCTAGGAGTTTTATGGTTTCAGGTCTTATGTTTAGGATTTTAATCAATTTTGAGTTGTTTTTTTGTGTATGGTGTAAGATAGGAGGAGTCCAGTTCCATTCTTTTGTATGGTTACCCCGTTTTCTCAGGACCATTTACTGAAAAGACTGTTCTTTCCCCATTGCGTATCCTTGGTTTCTTTGCTGTAAATTAATTGACCATATATATGTGAGTTTATTTTTGGGCTCTTGATTCAGTTCCATTGGTCTATGAATCTCTTTTTATGACAATTCTGTACTTTGTAGTATGGTTTAAAGTCAGGAAGTGTGATGCCTCCAGCTTTATTCTTCATCCTCAGGATGGCTTTGGTTGTTCACAATCTTTTGTGGTCTCATGTGAACTTTAGGATTGTTTGCTCTATTTCTGTGAAAAATGCCATGGGAGTATTAATAGGTATTGCGTTGAATCTGTAGCTTGCTTTGAGTGATGTGGGAATTTTAACAATACTAATTCTGATCCATGAAACAGGATATCTTTTCATTTATTTGTGTCTTCAATTTCTTTCATAAAATCTTGTAGTTTTCAACATAGAGATCTTTTACCTTCTCAGTGAAACTTATTCCTAAGTATTTTATTGTTTTTGATGCTATTATAAATGGGATTTTTTAAAATTTCTTTCTCAGATGTTTTGTTGTTAGTGTATAAAAACACAACTGATTTTTGTGTGTTGATTTTGTATGCTGCAACTTTGCTGGATTTGTTGATTAGTTCTGATGATTTTTTTTTTTTTTGTAGAATCTTGAGGATTTTCTCTATATAAGATCATATCATCTGCAAACAGACAATTTTACTTCTTCCTTTTCAGTTTGGATGCCTTTTATTTCTTTTTATTGCCTAATTGCTCTTTCCAGGACTTCCTGTACTATGTTGAATAGGAGTGGTGAGAGTAGGCACCCTTGTCTTGTTCCTGATCTTAAAGGAAAAGTTTTCAACCTTTCACTGTTGAGTATGATGTGGGCTGTGGGTTTGTCATATGTGGCCTTTATTGTATTCCTTCTATCCCCAGTTTGTTGAGCATTTTTATCATAAAAAGACATTGCATTTTTTCAAATGCTTTTGTCCTGCTATTGAGATGATCACATGATTTTTCATCTTTTATTCTATTAATGTGGTGTATCACGTTTATTTATTTGTGCATGTTGAACTGTCCTTGCATCCCAGAGATCAATCCCACTTGATCATGATAAATGCTCTTTTTTAATGTGGTGTTGAATTTGGTTTGCTAATATTTTCTTGAGAATTTTTACATCTATATTCATCAGGGAAAGTGGTCTGTGGTTTTCTTTTCTTGTAATATCCTTATCTGGCTTTGGAACTGGGGTAATGCTGGCCTCATAAAATGAGTTTGAGAGTATTACCCCTATTCAGTTTTTGGAAGAGGATGAGAAGAATTGGTGTTAATTTTTCTTTTAAATGTTTGGTAGAATTAGTACCGGTGCCTCTTTTGGTGCCATCTGGCTCTTCCAGAATTATGCTCATTACAGGCATCATATACTGTCTTGTTGGTCTCTGTCACAGAGCCGAGGGTTCTAATGACAAAGAGAAGGCACCTAGCCAAATACCCAGTATCCTGGTGATTTTAAATTGCAACTTGAGCCTTTCAGGGTTGTGGCTGGAAGGAAATGCAACTTCCTGGTTCATAGGGAGAGGTTCCAAAATTTTCCTGACTCCTTTTGATGACTAACAGCAAATGTAAATGAGTCAGAAAAGTATATCACATTTCTCAAACAGTGCATGAGGATTTGGGCCTCCACATGGAAGAGTTTGGGGAAAATGAAGGCTGATCTTTATTTTTTGTTTTCCTTCAAACACTAGAAATATCATTAGACATAATCCTAAGCGCTAGACCAGATTTTTCTATTTCCACTTTTCCTGCTGGGATGAGTAAATCAACAGATGGAGTAAAAGCTTCAAAGTGAAACACAGAGAATGTGACAAAGGAGGCAGGGGAGGGTGGAGATGGCTGAAATGAGAGGAGGGAGAGTTTGGGGTCAGGAAGCATTTCCAGAATGTCAAGCTCACCATGTCTGACTCAAAACTCTGGACTTCTGAGGCCATGAGAGGCCATCAGAGGCCAGAGAAGCGAGGGGCCGAAAGGAGGAATGGAGGAAACAGATGCCTTATTCAAGCTCTGGGAGGCCTGGGGAGCATAAGCTCGTGCTTCTTTAAAATGATTCTGAATTAAGTGGCTCCATGGATCTTGTTTTCACCAGTGTGGCCTCACTTTCCTAGAATATTGCCTCAGGGAGCCCTTTAGGGTCAGGAGGCAATTTCCTTCTTGATGGCACTGGGAGCATTGTGAGGCATCTTGCAGACATAATGGAAAAGAAAGGGTCAAGGAGTAGACAAAATGGCAGATGTCTCCTGGTGTTCAAAAGTCATACACCATTGCACTCATGAGACATCCTCATTAGATCTGCCTGGGGAAATTTTTAGGAAGTGTAGGGGAGCTTCAGGCCTCATAGTCCATGAGATCCAACAGGAAAAACTGATCAGGGGATGAGCAAAAGGATCTTGTAGCTTTTTATGAATTAGCTCCTTAAGGGAGTCTCTCTTCATTCATCTTAGTAACATTTTTTTTTCCCATGTGCAGAAGGATTCACATTTATTGGTTCACATACATCACCTAACACTTGTTAAGTAGGCATTGCCAGGCCCATTAGCTAAAGTCAAGTCACTGCTGGTTCCAGCCTAACTGACCATTGCCCTTACTGAGGTTACTACTCCTCATCTGTGCGGCAGGAAATTTCAAGTCCTCACTGCTGCTGTATACCAGTCCATGAATTGCTTCTATCATTTTTTCCCCCATACAAACACTAGTACTGTTCTTCCCCAAGCTACCATTGCTGATGCCCTCCATCTTCACTCTGGTCTTTTCTCAGCATTGATGCCTAAGACCACTTCTCCCTTCATCTTGAAGCACTGCCTTTCTCTGCTGCTTGCCATAACTTAAGGTTCTTTTTACCACCAGAAGATACCGTTACTCTTTTAGCTTTACTGCCTTCTCTGTTGGTATATTCCATTTATTAATGGCATTGGATTGGGCTCTCATTAGGTGTATTCCATTTATTAATGCTGTTGGATCAGCTAGGTCAGGGGTGAAGGGGTAATGTTGCTGTATCCAGTACAGTGGCAGTCATGCTCTGTAGTCATTTCAGCATCTTAAAGATCATGTCCATGCAGTGAATCTGCCTTGGTGTGATGTAGATACACCTGTTATATTAGATTCTCCTTTATTGCCATAGCACTGCCTTCATGCTCATCTTTGTACTTACGACGGTAGCCCCTGAAGTTGCCACGATAAAGGGGGAATCTCTCCAGCTTGGTATGTTGTGGAAAGAAGGAAGGTAGAGGAATTAAGAATTTGGATACAGGGTGCCTGGGTGGCTCAGTGGGTTAAGCCTCTGCCTTTGGCTCGGGTCATGATCTCAGGGTCCTGGGATTGGGTCCCACATTGGGCTCGTTGCTTGGCGGGGAGCCTGCTTCCTCCTCTCTCTCTCTGCCTGCCTCTCTGCCTACTTGTAATCTCTCTCTGTCAAATAAATAAATAAAATCTTAAAAAAAAAAAGAATTTGGATGCATTTTATAGATTGCTTTCTCTGAACCAAAATCCTAAAAGAGAGGTATAAATTAAGGAAAAAACTGAAGCAGAGAGACTTTCCCCTAGTTCTTATTTGGATCTCTAGAAGCAAGGAACCTATAGGCATCCCTTACTGGGATATGGTCTGGCCACATTGTCTAAAAATGGTAGCATGACATGATTGGGTAAACAGCAGAATTGGGTCAATAGGGCTGAATCTCTCCTGGATTTTGTATAACAAATGGATTATGCATAACATGAAAGTGATCCAGAAGTTACTTCAGGCCCCATGAGGGATAAGGAAGGAGCTGAATTGGAATTCAGCAGACATGCCTTTGCAGGGAGAGACAGGGTGACCAAGTCGCAGAGGTTGCAAAGTAGACTCCAGAGAGGGCCTTGATGAAGGATGTGACAGAGATGGAGAGGACTGTGCTGTTATAGGAGGAGACTCAAAGGTGCTGAACCAGCCAGGGGTGTCCTCTGGGTCCTAACAAAGCCAAGAGTTGAGATCACAAGTTCTCCAGCTGTAGACTTCGCCAGAGGCTGGGGTAGGGGTTTGTTGCAGAGGTCACCACTGCAGGTTTCCAAGTCCCTTTTCTCCTGCTATCTAGGGGAGAGGGGAGGAAGGGGGGGAAGAGCCCTGGCAAGGGATCAATATGTGAGTAAGGGAATAATTACCTAAAATGAAATGCTCTTAAGATTAGCAACATTATTTTGTCTCTTCCACCCTGAGGACATGTAGGTTAAACTAGATTAAATCGGTTTATTTTCTTGGATATGAATATTCGCATGTAAATGTTTCTCTCTTTCTCTACACACACACATTACATAAATGGATGGATGGAGGGATGGATAGATACTGCAAAAAGGTATTTATTTAACATTGGTTTCTGATCAAATATCAAATAAAACATAAGATAGTGAGACTAGAATAATTCCAGGCTATTCAAAGGCATTAAAATTTTAATTTTTTTCATCTCCGGGACCTCCTCATGTTCTTGTTATTTTATTTTGTTTTATCTATTATTATTTGTCCTAGACACCTTCCTCAAACTCTCACATCTGGTACACGGCTACATTCCAGCACATTCAAATCCTATCCTTTTTTTTTTTTTTTTTTTTTTAACAGAGGTGGGGGCAGAGGGAAGAGGAAGAAGGAGACTCTTTAAGCAGGTTCCACACCCAGTGCGGAGCCTGACACAGGGCTTGAACCCACAACCCTAAGATCATGGCCTGAGCCAAAATCAAGAGTTGGACACTTAACCAACAGAGCCACCCAGGCACCTCTCAAGTGCTATCGTTTCTACCCTGATGGGTCTCCTAAATCTCTCTCCTCCTCTCTGCACTAATCGCTGCAGTTGTTCAGACCTTTGTTACTTTTCTAGACTCCTGGAATAGCCTCCTGACTGCATGCCGTGCCTCCCAGTCTTTTACACCCAGCATCTGTTAATTTGATAATAGATATATCTGAGTGTATCACTTGTCTCCTCTAAAATAATTAGATGACTTTCCACTGATTGAAGAATACATCCAACCTACTCAGGCTGTTTACCTGCCATTTCAAACCTTTCTTCCCGTTCTTTATCTCGCTTCCAGTCTCCATCACGCTCTGAGCTTGCTAGCCAGCTGTTTTTTTTGTCTGTGCTTCTGCAGTAGAACATAGCCCGTGCCATAATGTATATGGCTGGCTGACTTCCTTTCTAGATTGAGAGGCCCTGGAAGGTAGGGACTCCATTGCTAACTATCTCATTTGTTACTTAAGTTTGCATCCTTTATTCTACCTAATGATGGCTTGAATCTAGTATTTAATAAATGCATGCAAAAGTATTTTATCAACAAGGTGCTATGTAAACAATAATTGTTTTATTATTTGTTCAATTGAGTTGAATTCACTGTTAGAATTCTCAACCATTCTCTAGGAGAAGTGATTTCCCATCAGTGGAAATTCTAGAATAATTGATATGATATCTCAAGGTACTAAAAGCAGGTATATCTCTGGAGAAGACAGAAGGGATCCTTCATTTTAGAATCTTCTCCTTCCTTCATAGGCATGCGTTAGAATGCCAGCCTTGTCCAGTGTTCCCTATATATATATCTGTGGTCGCTATTCAATCTCATATTAAAATCACAAACATTATCAGGAATTTCCCCATCATGGAAGATCAAAGAAGTGGCATGGTATTAAGACATAGCGGGGATCTGGGGAGCTGGCCCTGGGCACAGTTTCTACCAGTGCTTGCCTCACATGTGAGGCCAAGCAACTCTGCTGACCCTTGGGCAGGAGACACATTATGAGTGTAACGTGCCTGGCATTTCCTGATACAGGGATTATTTCCATCTCTAGGAATTCCACAAATGTTCTCAGAAGGCTTTGGGGCATTTACATTTTAAAAATAAACCTTTATAACTCAACACAAATATCCTAGAAATCTGTATGTCAGCTCTTTTCCTTGAAAACACCTCTAAGTCTTGCTATCACTTTCCTGAAACAGGAAAGGGAAAGACCACAAAGTAGATCAAATACTCCTAAGTAAAAAAGCCCTCAAGAAAAAGCCTTGCAGAAATTGGCACAACCATGTGAAGTATCTACCAAGTTACTCTTTGAGAGCTTGGATAGTGTGATTAGCCCCATGAAAGAAAAAAAGAGAGAGGAGGAGGAAAGAGAGAGAGGAAAGAAGGAAATGAAAAAAACAGATTAAAAAAAAAGAAGAACAAAGGAAGGAGGAAGGTAAAAAAGAGGATGAAAGGGAGGAGGAGAAAAGAAATAGAAATGAACTTCTGGAACCTGCTGCCCATCACGTGGACAGGTATTGGAGGATTTTGTTTTTGAGGCAATAAATCGCCTAAGATCAATTACGTAGATCAACCTCTGGAATGTCCCCAAGGAGGAAGAAATCACCCAAAGGGGACTGGAGTAAAAATAAAAGAAAAAAGATTTCCCCCCAAATGAGATGTGGAATAGTGCCACCTCTCCCTTCTCCTGGAGCAATGCGATTGTGGAAATCCATCCTACCTGCTATGCTGATGGTGGCTGCAGCCTTTGCAGTGCTAAATTTCTCTCCATGCTTATTGGTAGCTATGCATGTGAAGAGTCCTGGCTTAGTGATAAACAGCTGCAGTCTTGAGTCAATCACTCGGTCTTTTACACTTTCTTGAATGGACCCAGAAGAAACCTGGTGGAGTCAAGGAGAAAAAAATGGATAGAATTAGGTCAAGGATTTCCTAATATGCTGCATCAGTTGACTCAAAAGAGAAAGTACCAAAATGATGATCAAAGGGCACATGGTAGATTACAAAAATAGCTGAAACCTTTTTCTTCCCTATGCCCATGACCTTGCAATGTAGCTTTGTAGCTCTTCCCCCAAGAGGCAGCATCTCTCTGTGTGTTTTGAGTCTAAATTGGGCTTGTACTTGTTTTAGAAAATCAGAAACAGACTTGTAAAAGTCTTGCACATTGTGGCTTACTTTCTTGTTGCTCTTGGAACCTGTGGCCTCCTGTGACCAACCCAGAGCTAGCCTGGTAGAGGAGGAGGAACACATGGCCCAGTTAGCCTCATTGCCCCAGCTGGGAGCCAAGAACAACCACCAGATACACAAGTGAGGCCATTCCAGATTGACTAGCCCCCGGTCAATGTGCCAGTCACAGGAACTAGATCAGCCAAGATCACGAAATCATGGTCCAAATCAGCAAAACCACCCAGACAACCCACAGACTTGTGAGCATTACGAAACGGTTAACTTGTGTTCAGTTCCCCACAAATGCACACCAGATGGATGGACGGTTATGAAGAAAAATGGTTGTAAAGCCAATTCTGTTTCCAAGGCATGACATACATCACGCCATACCATTTAAATCAGAAAATCAAATGTCTTTAAAAAGCCAGGATATCAATGCAATATTAGCGCCCAACTGGTAGGTCAATTTATGTAAGTGGTTGTTAGTCACCATCCTTTCAGCTCTGGGGGAAGACAGCTGCCCAGCACTTTCTGTGAGGTTGCAGAGTCAGAATTCCTACTCTAGTTAACAATAATTATTTAATTGTCACTGTATGAGGAGAAAATGCCAGTTTGAGGGAAATTTGAATGGAATGACTAAGGAATCAGACCATGATTCACCTTGACCTTGTCTCAGAGGGGTGGCCTTGAAAGATCTCTCTGTCCCATGGTAGAGAACGAGGCTGGAAATAAGCAATTTGGAGCCAGTTATTTTGCTCTTTTGCCTGTTTTCACAGTTAGACTAACAAGGGGAGGGGAAGCCCTGTGGTGAAACCAGCTTGCTTCTTTCTGCTGCCAGGTGGCTGGCTGGTCTTGGATCCAAATTCTCTCTGTAGTGATTAAGCATGAAGTTCTTCCAGTGAGCTTCTTTGCCTTTTTATTCCTTCTCTGCACTACTGGTTTCAATCCTTATGATAAAAACTTCATGTGAGCATCAGTTTAAGTCAGATGAATAGCATCAGTTTAAGTCAGAAATACTTTGGTGGTTTCCCCAGATAAACAGCCTGGACTTTGTGAGCAATTGACAAGGCAGAGAGAAAAATTTCTTTAAGAGACATACACTCAGTTGGGGATTCAGATAGGATGCGTCATTATCGTATTTATCAGAAGCGCAACCTCTTACGGATTTGAATCTCCAAGTTAGCTAGAAAAGGCAGAACAATTTGAAATACAATTTTGGTCTCTCTCAAATTTTAGCAACCAAGCAACAAAGGAGAAAAAAGCTAAAGGCCTCAAACCTCTGTGCTCATTCAACACGCTTTATGCTATTGGGATATCTCATTTATAAATATAATCCCTTTCCAGTTCATAGAAGTGGGATCTGTAGAACAATCACCTTCCCCCTTTGCAAGGTTAATCCCTCCTTCAGGAAGTAGGTCAGCATAATGCCTAGGACACAATTGGGGAATGAGTCATCCCCAAGGTTGAAGAAACTGCACTATTTTCATGTTCACACCTAAGAAAGTCGTTCCTACACTCCTCCTCAAGGTCACTGAGACACTCTTGGTAGGGAAGAGGATGAGTTTTAAACCCGCTAACCTCTCTTCTCCTAGACTCCATCGAGCTATGGAAATAGTTCAGCAAAGAGACCAACAAGTGACAAGGCTCATTGCTTGATTGTGATGTGGCTCCTAGATGCTTTTCCTCCTGTTTCCAGAGGCCTTGCTTGATTCGGTTTGTGACTCATGCACAGCAGGCCTTGTTAGTCATAGTTTGAATTTGTTTTTCTTTCTTCATGGATCATCCTGACCAACAGTTTCGTATTTTTTGATGACCTGGAAATAAAAACAACCCTTTGCCCTCCATTTTGATCTTCTTGCCCCTCAGGTTCAGATTATTACTGAGTTTTGACCAAGATATGCCCAGGCAAAACTGAGTGCTTAATTGAGGTGACTGTGTCTGGTATTTACAGTAAATATGTAATTTCCTGTAGGTCACTCAGCCATACTGACCTGAAGGAGCTGGATAAGCAGCTCTCTGCTCTGTATGTGGGTTCTCTTTTTGAGAGAGTGACCTGACAAGGAGGCAATTAGGAAACTCTATCATAAATAGGAGTATTTATTTGCACTTGAGATATGTATATAAAAGCTTTTTGAAAGTGGCAAACTAGTATTGACCTGTGGAATATTTTTAAATGCCACTAATACATTAATAATGCTGGTTTGAGGGAATCTGTTCACAGTTACGGATAATTTTATACTTCATCGCGACTTGACCTTGGCATAGGAAGACCTCGGATGGCTTTGTCTTATACATAGTTCCAGCTTGCTGAGAATACCTCATGGAGCTAGCTGTAGGGTATGACCCAGAAGGGTCCATGTTTTGGGAGATAAAATAATAGGATTGTTTTAAATGTCTGTTTATGCATCATAGAAAAAGGGATAACAGACTGAGAAAAATTTCCATATTGTTTCTGGTCAACATTACTATAAATAGTGACCTCTTTTAATCTGGCTGCTGCAGTATTCCACATAATATATCCCAGCTGATACACATAATTATTTTAATTTACAGAGCTAGTAGGATGACTCCAAAGTTCATGGACTTTGAAGCAAAAATACTACTTTTTAAAAAATATGAGTAAATAAAGGTGAGCTGCCCTTTAAGAAAATTCAGAAACAATCTTCAGTATAGATAATTTGGTTGTTTATTTTTATAAAACTCTTTTAACAAATTAAGATGGCTCAACTTTTAAAATATTTTAGGAACTGTATTTATTGGAAGAACAAAAGAGACGTGTAATTTTTTGACATTTTTCATTTGAATGCCAAAATAATGGAGATATGATCAGTATAACTTGAAATAAATCTGGTTATCAAAATACAAGCTTATTTTCTTTTAGAAGAGTAAGCTGTGTTCTGTCCGCATGAAACTACGACTTCTATTGTTGTAAAACCAAAAGGAATATTACTGCTCACTTTGAAGTTCATCTAAGACTACACGTTTTCATGAAAAATGAATGACATTTCTGTAGGAAGAAAGCAAAATAATTTTTGATCACTTTGGGGCATATAGCTAGCCTTTCTCTTGTTTTCAGTGCTCGAGGTTTAGGTTACTGATATTTTCACAGAGCCAGGGAGGAAAGGAGCCGTCACATCCTCTAGAGGACCCATTGTTCTTAGTAGTGCCTTAGTGAAGAGCCACGGCTCAAACTGTCTTACTCTGTGCCAGTGAGCTCCCAGCTCTGCATTCATGTTTGTTCAGTCCACACCAGATAACACCAGGGCTGTGGGCTCTTCCCTGTTCTCAGGAGGCTCTTCTGGTTTGCTGCTTGTACAGTAAATGCCCAAGCTTGCCTCCATTTCCTGAGATTTGTGTCAGCACGAGCACTATCATCTTGGTTTCTAGTTGGCCCTGGGCAGTAGCCCCATAACCGAAAGCTGGCTGTAAGAGCAACCCTCTCCCTGACCATGAGAACCGCAGATGTACTTTTGCTTTCTTCCCGGAAGAAAGTCACTATCAGTTCATTTTATTCTTGCCTTAGAATCTGAGGCAGTGGGTCTATTTTGCTTCCTGCTTTTGGCGAATCACATCTTGAATGATTAAGTTGGGGTCTCAATAAGACTGAAACTAATTCGAACCATCTGGCTTTTTTATTACTCCCGAACTCCGACAGAGGCTAATCCTGTATCTTCTAGTTTTAAACTCATATGAGCCTTTGGAAACTAATTTTTTTTTTTTAAGCATATGTCTTTCCATTTTCTTATTCCTGTTTTCACAGAGGAAGTCAAATAAGTAGAGTCCTATCATCAGTCCACCAGCTTTCTTAGAACATATCTTTACACTACCTTGAGAGGCCAAAGACGACAACAACAGCTTCCACAGAAGAGCTACAAAACAGATCGCCAAATAAGATTTGAATTTTAAATGACATATTAAGTTTAATTAGAGAGCTTAAAGAAGAACAGGAACTACAAGTTCCTTGACTGTAACTTAACAACATTCGAGACCCATACCCCTGATGTCATATTAGGGATCATCTTCTCCAGCCACCTGATACCTCTGTCATTACAAACATGGGAAAATCAGTTTCTCAGAGACAAGTCTACTTCCCTTCAATGAACATGCGTGGAAGAGGACCATTTCCAACCTAGGTCTGCTGACCCTTCACTTCTTCTTATTTATTGTCCCGCAAGCAGCAAGCTCATAAAGTGACATTATTTTGTTCACTGTCTCTATTTTGAAGAGATGCATGGTAGGTACTTAGATGCATGGTAGACACACAAATTATGAGAAAATAATTTTGTTCAAATATCAGAAAAAAAACCTTCAGCACAAACAATAGTGAAAACAAAAATAATAGAAAACAAAAATAATAAATTAATTTAAGTCCCTAAGAGACTGCTCTTGCAGGATGACCCTATTCAGTAGTTGAGGTAGCCTAAGAATTTGGCACCTTTTACCTGGTACACGACATTCACCAGAATTTCACACAGGGATGTGCTTTGTTTCCCACCCACTTCTCTCCCCACCCTTCTTCCCTTCCCATGTCTAGCATCCTACGGCTCTTCACTTTCCTCACCTGCTTTTCTTCTCTTTCTTTTTTTCTCCTCATTTAGAACACTCCTTTGACTTTAAAATGCTGCTGTTAATATACTGTAATGCAACAACATGTGGACACTGCAACCAAGATCCTAAAAAGCTGGAGAGAGACTATCCCAGAGGACATGAAAAGTACAAATAGCCAAGAACCCCTTAGTTGACTCACCAAGGTTTGAGTTGTTTAGCTGTAGTGAGAACCATCTTCACCCAACCTAAGGGACTGGTTCGGAAAGCATTCCCTCTCCTTAAGGTATGAAGGACCACTGAAGGGCTGGCATATGTCCCCTGCTGTGTAGTAAAGGGTTAACTGTAAAGTGGACTTGAGGTGCTCAAACTCTGCACATTTGAAAGAAAGAACTGGCCTTTGACTTGCTTCTAAGAGATAATCTCTCATCCCTTGGAAAATCCTGCCTCATAAGAGTGTCTTTGTATATCTGACACCATGAGCCATGCCAGATAGTTTATGTTACAGTGCAAATTATGGTGAATAGCTCTTTTTGTTCAGCAGGGACTGTAGGCTATACTGTATCAGTTTGACCTTTGGAAAGGTTGGAGACTAGCTAAGGTCATTCATGTGAACCCTCTATGCTTTTGTAACTGATCCTTGGGAAAAACTCTGGATACCGTGGCTGGGTGAGCTTCCTGAGTACAAGACATCATACATGTTGCCATCATTGCTGGAGAATTAGGTGCTCTCCACAGGGAGAGAATAACTGACTACCCACTGTTGAGTTTATTCTGTATCCTTTCGCTGTAATAAAATATAACCATAAGGATAAGGGCTTTTCTGAGTTCTTCGAGTCCTTCTAGTGAGTCATCAAACTTGAGGGTGGTCTTGGGGATCCTGATACACCTGCAATTTGTTGACACAGCAGAGATGTATCTGATACACACCTGTAAAATCTGAAAGGAGAGCAGGCTGCCTAGTAGCTCCAACGGAAGAAGCAAAGAAGGAGTAGCTCTGTTCAGTGGTCTGGATCTAAGAGTTTATGGATATACAGGTTCTATAGAAGACCTGGATTGGAGTTATTTTCAGTCTTCCCCCAAACATCTCTTTGGGGCATTGATGGGACCCCAACAGAAAGACTTCCCATCAACTAACAAATTGGGGGCTAAGAAGGAGATGGCTGCCCTGAGGAAAATGAGTCACTGAGGTCATCTTGAATATCCCTTGATTTCTCAAGAATCTTGAATGTGTCCGTGATGGAAAGAGTTGTCTTAAATACTTGTCAGGCACAGTGATGGAAAGCCAACCTAAAAGAGTATCGGTTAAATTAGAACTTTTCCACTTCAGTTACTGCTCCTCACTTCTTCCAACCCCAAATCTGTAGGAGTCTTAAATAGCAGTTAGGAAGTGGGGGAAGAGTGAATGAGTGAGGGTGAGAGAAGCAGCTAACCACAGGACTTGTGGAAGGCAGGTGGATGCATGTAGTCGTCTTAAGAAAGGGAGCCTAGCTCGTCTGTAGAGTGTGCAAGTATGGTCAGTTTGAGTCCCGCATAGGGTGGAGAGATTACTTAAAAATAAAATCTTAAAAAAAAAGAAAAGAAAAGAAAGGTCCCATGAATTGCAGTTGGAAACTCTGGTTATTACTTAGGGTTAGGCCCTCAGAATTACTAAATTGGGATAGTGTTAGTGATGTAAGATCACCTAAAAGAACTGAAACAGTCAGAGAGCCTGCTTGGGGTAGGTGCCAATGGTGAGAAAAGAACCTGCCCTTCTGAAGAGACTTACAAGAAACAGAAGATACTAAATGAGGTTGTATTACATTACAAGTTGTGCCTGCTCAGGATCTGAGTCACAAAGATGACCTCAGCCCACATGTTTAGCTCTCCTTTTCCTACCTGAAATCCCAAAAGATAAATCAAACCTAAAATTAGGAAAAAATAAATTTCTAGAAAGGTAGAAGGGTATCATAATTAAAGGGGCAGAAATTTTCAGCAATTCCTAGAAGATACAAAGAGATGTGGCTCAGTTGATAGAAAAATTAGTATCAACCAAGTCGCTGAAACCTTGAATTTCCCTGAGAGAAGAATGGATAAATTGTCCCTATAGAGTCATGGAAAATTCCAGAGTTCAGATAACAAGGCTATAAGTAGGAGCAGATTTTGAGAGAGTTAAAAAAGTAGCAGAAGAATGTTATGAACTGTTATGTGTACATACAGCACTAGACTGAGGCATCTGTCCATGGGCTAGAGCCTCTGAATAAGATTTTCTTTAGTGGGTTCTTGTGGGGGACATTTATGGTAGGCAGTAGAGCCTGAGAAAAAGTTGACAGGTTACATAGGACTCCCTCTGTCCATCCACAAAAATATGTAGAGCATCAAGATTAGAAAGATTATAGTTTTAAAGTAAATTTATTTAATAGAGGTCTGATGAACTTCTGTTACAACTACATTCTTCCTAATCTTTATGCTCTGCATAGAAAAAAATGTAGAGAAGAGAGAAACAATTATTAAGGATATAATAGAGGAAAATGTCCCTGTGTTTAAGAGAGATTTGCATCTCAAGTTCCTCCCTTTGAGTTCTATATCATAGGAAAGTACATCAACTTGCCAGTTGATTCTGTAGGCCTGGCATAATATTGTTAACAAAACCTGGGGATGATAGCCCCCCAAAACTGGACTATTCCCATTTTTGAAAATAGATGCAATATTCATAAAGAAAACTGCAAAGTGAAATGACACAAACAAAAAAAGGAGCAGTGTTTTTAAAGAATGAAAAGGAAGCTTTCCAATTTAAAATGAAAAAATTGTATGTTAAAATAATTAATGACAAGGCATTTTATAGAATTTAACATATGTTTAGTTAAAAAACATTTTGTTAAGATTAAAATAAACATCTTTAACCTCATAAAGAGTATCAGAAACTAGGGATCAAATGCAAACCAAACAGACAAGTGGTTAAAGTCTATAAAAAATTATTATGGTGATAATCCATGAAAGATTCTTATTTCAGATACTGGTTAGCTGGGTTATCAAACCAACTCTCACACTGAAAAAAATTAAAATTCTGGAAAAATATTTCTACCAGGTGTAACAAATATAGAAGTTTTTATTCTCCCTAAGACATTTTTCCAACCGAGAAAAATTTGTTTCCTTTGAGGAGTGAGCAGACAGAAATCAAAACTCAGGTTCCCTAAAGATGAAAAGTTGTAAGAGGTACAACAAATCAAAATCTCAAAGAATCAGCTGTCAGAGAGTTATCAGTGTGAACTACAAGTGAAATAGCCCATGCAGAACTGCAGACTGTGTTACAATTATCTGGGATGACCAAGGAGTGTCAAACCTTGAACTAGGTTTAAGATGGTCCAAAATAAGCAGTTGCCTCTGGTCCTTGGCAAAAATAAACAAAAATTCTTTATGAGAGAAGTACCTTTATCTAGATCTCCAATTAATCCCTGACCTTTTTTTCCCCCTGCAAAACAGTGAATAGCAGGTAGTCAAAGATAACAAGGCATACAAGGAAACAAAGCACAATGAACAAGGGTCAGTAGGAAAACAGATAACAGAAGGAGACCTAACATGGCATCCCATCTCACTCAAATAAAAGCTGAAGTTGTTTCAGTGCTTTGCATAAGCTAATATGATCCATTACTCCTGAACTCACTCCTTTCCTTTTTGCTCACTCACCTCTGGTCCCACTGACCTTCTTGCTATTCCTCTGCCATACTTTGTGCGACTTTCTCTTAGAGACTTTCCTCAGTTTTCTTCCCATAGTTATTTACACAGCCTCCTCCTCAGCTCCTTCAGATCATAGCTCAAATGTCTTCACTTAAATGGGGCTTTCTTGACCACTCTATTGAGAATGGAATCTTTCTTGTAAGGTTTCACATTCTGTCTCATTTCCCTGCTTTATTTTTGTCCATTATTTGACACTGTCTGCATAGAATATTTTCCTATTTTGTTTTATTGTTTGTCTTTCCCCATCATAATGTAAGCTCTTCGAGAACAGGGAACTTCACTTGTTTTGCTTTTGAAAATAATACTTTATATTTTTATTTGTTTCAGAGGTAGAATTTAGTGATTCATCAGTTGCATATAACAGCCAGTGCTCGTGACATCAAATGCCCTCCTTAATGCCCATCACCCAGTAACTCCATCCCCCACCCACCTCTTTCCAGCAACCCTCAGTTTGTTTCCTAGAGTTCACTGTCTCTTATGGTTTGCCTCCCTCTTCACTTTCCTCTTATTTTTCATTCCCTTCCCCTATATTCATCTGTTTTGTTTCTTAAATTCCACATACGAGTGAAATTGTATGGTATTTGTCTTTCTCTGACTGACTTATTTCACTTATTTTGTTTGCTCTTGTACCCGTAATGCCTAGAATAGTGCCTGATACCCAGAAGATAATCAGTAGATGTTTGTAGAATGAGTAAATGAATGTTTATACGTAAAGTGCTTAGAAGAGAGCCTGGCACATAATAACCACTTAATGTATGATGGTTATTATTATCAGTATAAAAAATGAAAGAATGTTGAATTGATAGTTAGGGATTCTAATTATGAATTAGTTTTCATCAAAGTAGCCTCTAGCTCCAGTGAACTAATTCTTAAGCTGGTGAGGTTTGTGTGAATTATTTACCTGTATGGGAAGGAATTATGACCTCTTCCCTTTTATACAAAAGCAATTGATTTTCTACTCTTCTGTTACGATACAAAGAAAGAAGCAAACCCACGGAGCTTAGTTTCAAGGGCAGTGACTTCTAGGACGAAAATCCTAGAAGGCTTTGAAAAATGGAGGTAAGGTGGGACCAATGACAGAGGTCAAGGTACTGTCACAAATATGTGGTCTATCCTGAAATTCCTCTCCAGTGAGTCTTCCCCCAGACAAGTCCCCATACAGGTGGCACTCACAGCATTTCCGTTTTCAATCCAGGTGATGGTGGGGACAGGAATGCCTGTTGCTGTACAGCGCAGGGTCACAAAGGAGCCAAATGTGACATTGTGGGATTCAGGAGCCCGCAGGATTCTGGCAAAAACTGTTAGGAAAACAGAAGTGGTGAGTGACTCCTATAGCGAATGCTCAAGCTGGAGTGATCTTTTATTTATTCATTTTAAAGATTTTATTCATTTATTTGACACAAAGGAAGAAAGAGCACAGGCAGGGGCAACAGCAGAGGGAGAGGAAGAAGCAGGCTCCCAGCTGAGCAGGGAGCCCAGTGTGGGGCTCCATTCCAGGACTCTGGGATCATAACCTGAGCCAGATGCTTAATGACTGAGCCACCCAAATGCCCCTGGAGTGGTCTTTTAAAAAATGCAAATCAAATTGTGTTCTCTTGTGTAAATTCCTTCCACGTTCCTCTGTATTAAGTATAATACCAAATGCCATGCCCTGGCTTCTAAGCCATTTATTCTAGAACCCTGTGTTTCTCACCACTCTAGGACAGTCTAACTACATTCCTTCCTTAGGAGCTTGTCCATGCTTTCCCTCAGCCTAGAACACTCATCTCCCAGATCTTTATGTGGCATGTTCTTTTTATCATTCTCTCTCTGGTTAAGTGGCATTTCCTAAGAAGAGCCTTCCTTGACCACCCAATAGAAGGTATAACCTGCCCCCTCATTTACTTTTCATCATTGTGTTTTATTGTCTTTACAGACCTTACCACTATCTGAAGTTATTTTTTATTTGTCTATTGTCTACCTCTCCCCTACTCCTGTAGATTATAAGTTTTTGGCAACCAAAAACCAAGCCTGTTTTGTTCAGTACCTAGAAGGAGTGCCTGACCAAAGTAATAGTATTTAATTGAATTAAGGAAATAATGCTTTTTATCTTCAACTGTATCATAGAGGGAGGACAGAAAATATTTGTCAAGCTTTTGAAAGAATGAGATGAGCCCTTTGGGCCAAAAAGAAAAATATTTTAGGCCAAGCGTGAGCAGGAGAATAGGTAACTAATATTTTGAGACTGAATCCCTGCTGATTAACTGAGAGAAAGTTCAGGGAAGATATGATGTGACAACTAAATTCTTTTTGCAGTTTCTAATTTTAGATTTGCAGGTACAGATTAATTCAACTTCCCGTTTTTGATATTGAGGACTCTAAGAGATGGAGTCTAGCAGAGCATGTCAGAAATACAGAGTTGGGCACAAAAGCCAAAAGAAAGGAAAAGCAAAGAAGGGTCCATCTTTAAGGCAACAGGTGGTTAAAAAAAATACACCAAATGTTTAAAATACAACTGAATCTGCCCCCCCAAACAAAATGAGCCTGCTTTTAAAAAGTCCTGTGGTCTAATCAACCTACAAAAGAACAGAGGTTAAGGAATAGATTAAACAATGTTACAGGGATGCAATTCATTCCAATCCAGAATATAGACAATTCAGTAGGGCAAATTACTTAGTTTTCTGAATAAATAACTTGTACGGGGGAATTATTGTAGAGTTATAAAGACTTAAGAGGCATAACCCCAAATGAAAGGTGTATATCTTGTTTGGATTCTTATTCAACAGATCAGATGTAGAAAGATATTTTGAGGTAACTGGATAAAAATTGCACAGTCCTGGTAGTAAATGGTATAAGAAATTAGTGCTAATTGGGGATGGGTGGAGTAATGAACATGGTAATGTGATTATGTTTGTTTTTTTTTTTTAAATCCTTAAACTAATGTATATATTGGTTGATTGAACTAATGTCTGGGATTTGCTTTAAAAGAAACTAGCAACAATAACATAGTAGTAGAACTGAGGAAACAAAATTGGTAGACTCTTGATCATTGCTGCTGGAGGGTCATGGGAATGTGGGAGTTCACTATAGTACTATATCTACTTTTTTGTGAGATTGAAAGTTTTATAATAACATCTTGAAAAATTGCTGTGGAGCCTAACCCAACAGCTCCAGAAAACATGTGGTGAGATACACACTCCTTCCACCACTTAAATAGCATCAAGTTTTAGAAAACCCCAAAACTGAAGAAAAGTAAGGCTCTGAGGAGGAAAATTTGGCAGAGACGTTGGTCCTAAGTGCCTCAGAAATATCGACAACAGCCTTTTTTTTTTTTAATTAAAGATTATATTTATTTATTTGTAAGAGAGAGAGAGAGAGAACACAACAGGGGGAGCGGCAGAGGGAGAAGCAGGCTCCCCGCTGAGCAGGGAGCCCTTTGTGGGCTTGATTCCGGGATCAGGGTTGAAGGCAGACAGTCCACTAACTGAGGCACCCCAGTGTCCCCCTACAACTGTTTTACATCAAAATTCTATGAGGAATGACTCCAAGTTGAAATAGAATGTTCGAAAACTTTCCCTAGCAGGTGATGCATACAGCCTGAGAAATTTCTTAACAGAGCGAGTGGCAGTAGCTGTAGAGGTCAGCAGGCTTGCCTCCAAAAGTGAGTGGCCCTGTGTGGTCTCATAGGGCACCGTGCTAAGAGGTGCTCATACTTGGCTCAACCGTCTGCTATCCTTCTCTTGCAGTTACTTGTGATTTTTGAATTAAAATCATTGTCATTTGCACCTGGGCTACAAATTATGGAGCCAGTCCTGCTAGTCAGGGATAAAAATGCCACCTTAAAGAGGGAGTGAAGCCTGTCCCTCGACTGAAGTTCCAGAAAAGCTGGGCTCCAAGGTGAAATAGGAAATAAAAAGTCGTGTAATGAATGAGTCTGAAGGACGTGTCAATCAAGACTAAGTGACTGAGGCTCTCCTCCCTGGGAATTCTGAATTTCTCAAACAGACCAGCCAGTGAAGAGGCAGTGCACACTTTTTCCAGATTTACCAGAGTGACACATGGTGACCCATCTGACCACCTGATGGGAGATTTCTCCCAACGCAGTCTAAGCTCACAGGTTGTGCACTCTTGACAATTGACAGAGACTGACCACTCTCAGGTATTTTCTCCTTTTCTAATGTTTTCTTGCAACAGTGGTGGAGATCTCGGTTGCACAGCATAGCTGAGTCCACTTTCATGATTTGGTTGAAAGAACTTTTCGGGGTTGAGACTATACTTATGTATCCTACATTTTTTGAGTGAGGGGCTACTGTACTCATCATCTTACGGGTCCCATTGCCTCTCAGAATCTGAAAAGCAGGATCTTTTAGAGATTGGGAGTAGGATTATTTCAATCCCATAGGTACTGGAAAAGTGTAGCCAGCAGCTGCTGTGGAGAACTCTGTACCGTTGAACCTGAATGACAGCCTTCTGGCTAAAGTGAAGAAGACTAAGAAATTGGAGAAGAGTAAAATCTAGACACTGTTTCTGCTTTAATTTATAGAGGCAAGAGTTTTCATTTGGGGACTGTAAAATCTTCCTGGAAATGCAGTAATAAGGGAGGATTTATTTTGTTCTAATTTACAGCTTTTTCCCCCCTTTTGGCTAGCATTATATTATTTGGAATATCATTTGGACTCACTGCAGAACTTTTGATGATCTGTATTGCACAACACAGATATGCATAATGGGAGATGGTAAATAAAATAGATGCAACATGGCCTTGCAGTGAATTTGCCTAATATATTGCTCTGTCCCATATCAGAACCTTCTGGGGCGGGGGGGGGGTGGTGTCCAGTGGGGCACAGGATGGTACATGAAGGAGCAGTATTGGCATTTGCAGTGGCTTCCTGAAGGTGTGACTGTGCTAATAAACTTCTGGTCTCCTCCAAAAGGGCAGATAGACCTTTGGCTGAGCCAGGGTTTGATTGTGTGGTGAGAAAAACACCTTTTGAAAAAACGACTTTGTGTTTTTGAGTTGCTGCATTGGCATTTTACAGTATGATAACCCTACCACATCCAGAGTCTAGACATTTAGATAAGGACTTGAGTGTAGGATGTCCATCGTAAGCTCCCACTTTGCTTTTCTTGGGCAACTTTTAAAATAACCACTTAGAGTGAGGCCTGAGAAAAGTTAGTATCCTGCATCCCAATCTCCTATAAGTATAGGTTATTGCTACCCCACTCTTTTTTTTTTTTTTAAGATTTCATTCATTTATTTGACAGAGAGAGATCACAAATAGGGAGAGAGGCAGGCAGAGAGAGGGGAAGGGAAGCAGGCTCCCTGCCAAGCAAAGAGCCTGGATGAGCCTGGATGCAGGGAGCCCGATGCTGGGAGCCTGATGCTGGGCTTGATCCCAGGACCCTGGATCATGACCCAAGCCGAAAGCAGAGGCTTTAACCCACTGAGCCACTCAGGCGCTCCCACTTGCTACCCCACTCTTTGTCCCCTTCTCTGTGACTGGGGTCAGAGGACTTCCCTTCCCTGGGCTCACTGCATGCTCCCCAGACCCTGGCTTCTGGGATTTGTAAATAATAAATCTTGTGATTCTATTTCCTTTGTGAGGGTGTGTTGAAACTACGCCTTCAATCACAATGAACCCATGGGTTTCACTTCCCCAGAGTGGGAGCTGGGATGCTGAGGGAGCTCCTTACCAAGACTGTGTGGGTGTCCTGTGCCCCCTCATTCACCAGGTCACAGTCTACATGCTCTTCGTTCAGTATACCAGCCCCAGCTTCTCCACACATGTGGTTAAGTCCAGTGGGTGAAGAGGGGAAAAGGCCAGGAATAAAAGGGGAACTGTTTTCTGCATACCCCATTCTTGCCAGAAGATAAAATAGGAACTTGCCCCCTTTCTTCAGTATTAAAAGATGACTTCCACCCTTCCTGCCAATTTCCCCCTGCCCCCAAAGAAGGTCACAGATGTCTCCTTATCAAAATGTTTCTCAACACATTCCCTTACCCTTGTTTGTGGTTCTTCATAGCACTTATCACCATGTCATAATAATCAATTTGTTTGTTTGTTGGCTGTCTCCTCCTCTGGAATGTAAGCATCACAAGGGCAGAGCTTGCTTTGTTCATTAACCGAGCTGATTGATAGGTGGGGAGACAGAGCCCTGCGTGGTACATAGCAGGCATTCAATAAATATTTGTTGAATGAGTGAATGAATCAATGAACTGAATGAATGAGTGACTGTTCTGATTGGTGTGACAGGACAAAGGGACTTGTCTATGTTATGAGTATCTCAGCCCTCTTGGGGCCATCATTCTCCCAGCTATCCTCCTACAACAAGGGTATGGGGTTCTCCATCCTACAGCTTGGGGTGGAAGGTTAAGGAGTGGGGAGGGGCTTAGGAGGATGAGAAAACAGATGTTAGTCTAATTCTTAGATGAAAAAGTAGAAAGGTTTATTTTTCAATCCAGCTTTATCATCAATAAAACTGATATTTTTATACCCATCTGCATTTGTTACCAGTTCCAAGCAGAAGAGGTAAAGGAGGGATGACAGAATTTCCACCATATTGTTAAAGATTGAAAACAGCAATGCCAGTTGCAATTAAAAATAAATGTCAGACTAACCTCTATGGATAAAAATACACTGGTAATAATAAACGTAGATGTAATTCAGTAATAAAGTCCCATTACTTTGCTGGTAGCCCCAAACTGAAAATGCATTCTAGGTCATCAGTTTTAAAAGTAATGTGGTATATTTCATATCAAGTAAAATATTCATTGAATATCTCTGTCGTGCATTTTATTAGCATCCAAAACAGCATAAAAGTGTTTTTGTTACATAAACGAGTTAATAGACGGGGTACGACATTACTTAGTAATTTGGAAAACATTTACGACTGTTTTGGTATGGATTTTTAAAGAAAAAACAGGATGCAATTCTTTCTTTAGTTTTATCCATTATTCTCCAGTTCCTGTGAGCAAGCAAATTACTGTTCATCTGCATCATGGGAAATAGACATGGGCAATCTATTTATCCCTGGGTTTTCTCTCATGATATTTGTTCATGAGTTTTGGACTTTAATTTCTCTTGGGTAAATTTACAGCGCCAACTGCAGGTTGAGAATTGTACTTTCAAAATTGGGCTTAAGCAGCCAGTGATTCCAGAGTCCTTTATAACATAATTATATTATGTTCTTATTCTCACCCATCCCTCCCTCCTTCTCTCTTTCCATTTTCCAAAGCACTTTCAGATACATAATAAATCTTACTATTGATTGTCATTTTAAGGGATAATTTGAATTTGTGGTAAGGAGGTGGAGCTATTATTCAGTCTGAAATTGCAGTGGTGGTGCAATGGAGAGCCTAGGGCAGAGAATCCTAATTAAGTCCCAAAAGGAACAAGCCGTTTGGCTGTAGATGAGTTTCCTCTCCTTTCTTGTTAAGGAAGTAGGACCAGAGGAATACTTCAAGTCCCTTATAAATTCTGTTTCTGAGTAATTATTTCAAAGGACACAATGAGCTCACATGGATTTTATTTTCTCTCATTTTTTTCCTTTCTTTATTTTATTGTAGTGTCCCTTAAAGAGGATTTTGTTTTGTTTTGGTTTGGTTTTTTAGGTTACTTGATTCTAAACAGCAGTGACAGAGTTGAAGAGAAAGCAAATAAAAACAAAAAGAATCATGCAGGAGCAGGTGAAATGATTTTATCTAAATTTGGCCATAAGCACCCTGATGTTTAGAAATAGAAAAGTATCTCAAATACCTTATTTGGGATGCTCAGATAAGGAGGTGCTATTTCGATTACTACCAGCCTAAGGTTTCTTCCTAGTGCCAAAATGTATTATATGAGAACTTGCGAGTCTTATCCAAAAAACATAAAAGGTTGGGTTAGAATGGCACAAAGTTTGGATCTTAATCAGGATGGAAGGTGCTTTCTTGGAAGAAAAACTCTTTTTCTACAAAGTAGGGTTCCCCCCCAAAAATTTGATTTCCAGCTATTTTCCTCAAACATATTCCACTAAATATATGTACGTATCTGTGGGCAATTAAAATTAATTTAAATTTGATTGATTTGGTTTGGTTTGAAGCAGTTACATCATACTTGTCTTCTTGGAGTAGTAATAATTAAAACCTAAGCTGATATCTTAACATTTTTACGTTCCTCCAAAAATTGTAACACCCCCTCATCCCCCTCCCCCCCATAAAAAAAGGCTTTCAATCAAAAGGTACCTTTCTATTCCAATCTGTGTGAGATTTGTATTCTCATGATGATTTATGTCATTTTGTTTGCATTTTCAGGTTACTTAATAAAAGTAAATGGTCAATAAATACATTATAAAATAAAGCAGCCCATCTAATAACACTTGGTCAAATGCTGACAACATTCCCCATACATCACGTGTTATTTCCTAAAAAAAATAACGGCAGAACCAGACATTTTAAAAGAAGCAGGGCAAAAAGAAAAAAAAAATACCTTTAGTGTCTTGTTCAGGTTCACTTTCTTCTATTAATAGAAACAAGACAAAACAAAAACACACAATAAACACACAAACAAAAACAGCACATCATGAAAAGGGAAAATCTTTGACCACAGAAACATCAGTTGTGCAACAAGATTAATTAGAATCTGCTTGTTTCTTATTTCAGTAAGAAACAAATGCAATCAAGGGAAACTGCTGACCTTTACAAGCAAACTATTAAATGACGTAAAATTTCAAATTACTACTTTTAGTCGGGCAGTACTACACAGAAAATAAACTACAGCATACCCAACAACATAGCTCATTCATGCATTTTTATTTTAATGCTGACAATTACCCTTTCTTTCAAGGCAACAGACTGCCTACTATTCTGATAAATTGTGTTTTCCCTTTGTTAGCGTGGCTTCTCCTTTTACAAGGCCCTGCTGTGAAGTCAGTGAGCTTGAATCTGGGATCTCAACTATCATTTCTATGGCAATAGACTCATGTTGTGGTAAACAGAGGATTAGGGGGTTTCTGCAGAACAACAGAGATTCTCTCCTCCATACCCACTCCCAGAGGCTGCTCAGAGAGCAGGGAGGAGCAAACCCTGATCTTGTAGGAAACTACCAGTGAAGCAAGCTACAAAGTAAAATGTAAAAATGTCTACACTGGGTATGCAGAACTGAGAATTTGTAATTTTTTTTAAATCCCAGAAAAGAGACAACTGCCAAATTAGTAGTTCCAAAATGTTTAATATGATAACTATACCAGAGGTAGATCCCACATGGAGCTCTGTTTTTCTTCCCTGAAAGTTTGTGTCCATGTAGGCCTTTCCTCTTCAAATTTGTGACAAGCCAACAAACGCTGGAGTGTTTGCTTATAAGTATAAAATAGCAATGCTATTGTTAATGACCTTGAATGCTAAGAATGTATTGGCATAGCTAGTCATAGGTTGTGCGTATTTGCACACACTATCCCTTCGCATTGATATTACTCAGCCCACTTTCCAGACAAGGAATCTGAGACTCAGAGCTTTGCTGTGTGTTCAGAGCCAGAAACACCACAATCCAGTTTTCATACATAATTCCCTGTTCTAACGGGCTTCATAGTAAGAAACCCTTATTGTTGTGCTTAATACTCAATCCCCTTAAATGTAAGCAAACTTTCAATTTCCCCTTTTAAATTTTATTGTGATTGAACATTCCCTGCCTCCATCAACCACGTCAGTGGCACATTCCTCTTTAATTTTTTCAAGGTCAAAGACGACTTAAAAGTTGTTAAATTGAATACATTTGTGGTTACAAGGATAGTTAGAAATTTTCTGTCAAATGTACCTAAACAAAGAAAATTACTTATTTTTTTAACAATACCCCCAAGATTGCCTGGTATATGATACTAGTTTTTTTCATGCTGAAAACTGATCATGTGGATATTTGAAACTGTAGAGATCCCTGGTTTCTAACACAGACATTAATTAGGAAAAATACATGAAGGTCCATGTTTGGGCCAGATTAGCCCTGAAAAATTGCATTTGAACGCCTTTGGGCTAAGCATGTTTTCCTAGTTCCTCAACACAAATGTGCTTATTTCTAAATCTTACTATTTTTGTTTTTCACCAGCCAAGGAACTATCTGTGAGTAGCTGAGATGGGCTTGGGACTCCTCGGGAATATGAAGTGTCTTCATTCCCTGGTAGCTATTATCTCCAAAAATTTTTTCCACTAAAGTTCAAAGTCCTCAGTAAATTTTGAGAATCTTACTCGCTCATCATTTTTTTTTTTCCTTCCCTCACACACTACTCTTTTTTGAGTTCTGGAGCAAGTGCAGGTACATTCTTAGTCTCCTTTCAATTGTGCTTAATTTTGCTTTGATCTTTTACGGGACTGTACTTGAGAGTATACTATGAAGACGGTGCCGACTTGCCTCCGCTATCCCTTTGTGCTTACTGTTGTTACTTCTGTTCATCTTGCTTGATTTGTTTGGAATCGGGGGCAGTGTGAAGTTTTGAAAGAATGCACCCATTTCCTCCCCTGTGGATCCACAAAACCAACTCAAGAGATGAAAGATTGTCTACGATTTACCCTTTTCCTAAGAGGAGGCCTAAAAGTTAGACCAGAAATTATATTTTCATATGGAGACTCTCAACATTTCTTTCTAGGCATAAGGGCAGATATACAGCTCTATACAGATGTATTTATACGTGCTTATATATTTATACAAGTACGGACCACATTCACACACATGCACACACAATTAATATTACTTTAAATTAGAGAAAATGATGCAAGAATAATCTACAAAACCTATTTAAGCTTGAGTACACTCATTCGGTGTTAGGAGATTGTTGGTCATTTCGAGGTCAGGTTCTAGGCCTAGTTTTTCCGTGTATCCTGCTTGCTTAGCCTATGATCCCTCTTGACCTCCGAGTTCAGAGTTCAGTAGATAAAACCTATTGTTTTACCACCTATCAATTTTTAAATATCTGGCTTCATGGTCTTTATTCCCATTTAACTGTTTTATGTATAATGCATTAGTGTTGTCTTCCAAACTGATAATGTAATCTCCACTGGGGGGGTGGAGGCAGGGAACGGCATAGCACACTTTACCTTCATTATGTTTTCTTCTCCCCCTAAAGTTTAGCACAGTCTCTGGTAGAAAAGAAGAAAATACTTAAACAAGGAGCTAGGTAGTGATTCATTTTCCTTTTCTACTTTCTTGAAATTGTTCAATAAGACATTTAGAATAGAGAATCAGAGACTTCTCTTATTGGAATAATTGCAGATATAATCAACATCTGAGTTAAACAGTATATCCATCATTTTCTTGAATACTTGGATTTATGGGGAACTTAGTACTATCATAGCAACCCACTTAAAATACTGTTAAAAAAAAAAAAGGAATATATTCTAAAACAAACGAAAATCAGTCTCCTTATAATTGCCACCCACAAGACTTAGTTTCTGTTCCTATCCACTGGAACAACAAAAACAAAAAATCCATCAAATATTTTCATTTTTCCAAGCTTACTAGCCCCAGGTCACCATGCTGATTGCTTACTTTTGAACTTTCTTATCTTACCTACTTATCTTAATTTACCCCCAGAACTAAAACTAACACACATGTAGAGAGTCTCACAAATTCAAAGAATAGTAAGACTTTTTCTAATATTCTACTTCTGTGACTATAAATTTACATATGTTTTTATTTGTATTTATATAAAAATGCAGTTAGGTCAAATCCCATTGAAAATCATGAATCATGAATATACAACACCTCTTTTTATACTTGCTCTTCAATTTTGAACATGTGTGTGTATGTGAATATGATTTGATTTTAAGAAAGATAAATTAAGTTTTTCCTATTCAATTCACTCTATTAGTTGATTGGAGAAGAAATTTGAAGGGAAATGTATTATATAGGAGGAGGGAAAGCCCTCAAGATTCCCCGGCAGAAAAGATCACATAAGTCACATAGACCTTGTGGAAAGAAAGAAAGAGACCAGAAGAGTAAACAGGCAGAATTGTGGGATGCGTCCCATCCCTTCAGACTGCAAGGATGAGGAGACCCAAGAAGGTAACAGGAATCTGGCCACCTAGACCAAAATCTCAATAGAGGCGGCCATTGCACATTCTTGCTCTTTGTAGGTTGGCATTGTTTGTTTAAAATTTTCTTCATAGACAAAAGCTTCAAGAAATCTCTGAACATCTGGTACTGTCAGGAGACCATTCTAGGACTTTTTCATTTTTCAATAAAATGATTTGCACCAAGCAGTTAATAAAGTGACTAACACATAGCTAGAAAGTACTGGAGGCTAATTTTGAAGTCAGGTCTTCTAGCTCTTCCTTTCTTTTGTTTATTTTTTTTTCCAGAGCTATTTGTAGCTCATGTTTATCTTCCTGACTGATGAAAGCTATTTCTCCATCTGCCTTTAAAGAAAGAAGGTGTATTTTAGTTTTAAATTTCAACCTGCCTTAGGGAGCTATGTTCCAGATATTGATCGTGTTGAGTACCCTTTTTGTAGGTGTTAAAAGCATGTACTTAAATCCATTTCTCACTTATCTGAGAAGAGAGGAATCATTCTGTAGAAAGAGAAGTCCATTGCTGAGACCTTATTAAAACATGGAGGCTAATCAATACTAGATTATTTGAATCCATTCTTAAATAGACTGCTTTTGTCTCACCTAGCACTGTATTTTAAGAATAATTGCATTGGAAATTCCTAGTAGAAGACAAGCACCTCAGACAGCAAAAAGGGTCATTTTAGTTGTTTTACCTTTTACTTAAAACAATTGGCTCAGGGGACTGTTGAAAAGTAATCATATTGAGACTCCATGGCACTCTGTTTCTGGATTGATTCTTCTTTTCTTTTCCAGTCATTAAAAGAACATGTGACAATAATAATAATAAACCCGAGTAAATACCTGCATTTTCTTTGCTGACTTCTTGGTAGCTAGAGCAAAGAAACCCGACCCTGGTGTGCTGCCACTGTTTACATTTCTGTTTCCTTTGAAGCAGAGCAATGCGTAAGGTTTATCCACTGTGTCTCTGTCTCTGAGGGAGTCAGAATGCAGGCTCCTTCAGAAAACATGCATGGCCCCCTCACAAACAGCCTTCCTTTGCATCTTCAAAGTAAGGCTGGCCTGGCTCTGTGACATCACGATTCTCTCAAGTGGCTTGGGCTGGAAACATTTCTGTGGCCTTTGAGATAATAACATTTTCCCAGCTTGTAAATATGGATGGTGAATCATGACCATGAGCAAGAAGTGTTTGTCAAGTAAATCAGGTAAGAGCCACACAAAGTTAACTTGTTCTTAGTTTAGTCCTAGATGGAGGTGGGAGCCACTAATAAGAATATTTTGGCTCAAATGTTCTGAAAAGGTATTAGAACTTTAACCATAAGGCAAGGAAGTTGTTGGACTTCAGTTGTGATTCAAGTTTTCCATTCTTTAAAAAAGTGTATATTCTGGGTTTCATGGAAGGAGATGCTAAGCTGCTTAATTGCCAGGACAGAAGCCTTTCTTGGTTTTCTTGGTTTCTTTCTT